AGTGTGGATTCCGTTACCGTAGCTGTAGCTGTACCACCCGAGACTAGTTGTAGTAGTACATGTATCCCGAGAGCAGCCACGGCCGAGGAACTCGCTCCTGCGGTGCTCGACGCTGCCCCCTCAGCGCCAGTTTCCAGCTCACAACAGCTAGCGTGGGACTTGCTCGCGTCAAGTTTGAACTCTCCGCCACGTGCCGAACATGCACCGGACACCGTGGCCGGTGCCCTCACTGAAAATCATTTGAACTCCCCACCACGTGGGACAGCCGCTGAGGTCCAGGTTTCTCAGGACGGTTTCTCAGGACTCCACGACAGACGAGACCCAGCTATTGCAACTAGCCGCCCTCGACAGTGGCACGGAGGCGGACGAAGATCAAGCCCTTAAAATTGGCATGGTATACCAGCTGCTTCTGCTTCAGAAGCCCTACCAGTCGCCGCAATCATCGTATGCCAAATGCCTCAGACGACGGATGGACCCATCGCAAGCGGGATCAATCCCGGAGCTCCCGCGGGAATGCCAAACAATCCACCAGCAGCTCAGTAAAGCACGACAACGGCAGGACAGAGCAGACACACAGCCGGACATTGCCAGGGACTTTGCATCAATGGTCACCAGAGGGAAATTGAAGGCGGCTCTTAACATTCTAGAGGACGATACCCCAGGAGGAGTTCTAGACCTTGATGAGAAGATAGGAAACGACACGGTCCGCGACATTCTCATCTCGAAACACCCGGATGCTCAGTCTGCCAAACCCGACGCCCTGCTCGAAGGAGATGCACCTGCACCACCACATCCAATCCAGTTTGAGTCCCTGACACGGGAGGTAGTGTGACGGGCAGCCCTCAACACCCATGGCTCCGCTGGGCCCTCCGGTGTCGACTCGGACACTTGGCGACGGATGTGCACCAGCTTCGGAGGCGCCTCAACTGAGCTGTGCGACTCTATGGCCATCTGTGCACGTCGCCTGGCGAGCACCTACGTTGACCCGGCCATGCTGGAGGCATATGTTTCATGCCAACTCATTCCCCTCAACAAGAATCCAGGAGTGCGGCCAATCGGGATTGGGGAGGTGTTGAGACGGATCCTCGGAAAGGCCATCCTCCTTCTCCTCCGAGACGACATCCAAGATGCAGCTGGCAGCTTTGCGCCGGGCACGAATGCGGGGTAGAGGCAGCCATCCACGCCATGCACACCGTGTTTGAGGATGAGGAGACTGAGGCCATCCTGCTTGCCGATGCCTCGAACGCTTTTAATACGCTCAACCGGGAAGCCTGCATGCGTAACATTCAGCACCTCTGCCCAGCGATGTCCCCCATTGTCATCAACACGTACCGCCAGCTCGCACATCTCTTCGTCGGTGGGGAAACCATTCTCTCCAGTGAAGGGACCACCCAGGGCGACCCCATTGCAATGCCAATGTACGCCCTGGGTGTTCTACCACTGCTTAAGTCTGTTGCTACACCGGGTGCCATTCAGGAGTGGTTTGCCGACGATGCAGGAGCCGGTGGAAAGCTGATGCCGCTGCGAAGGTGGTGGGGAGGCCTTACCGAGAATGGTCCTTCCTACGGCTACAATCTGAACCCAGCCAAATCTATTCTCCTGGTCAAACCAGCCTACCTGGACCGGGCGGAAGAGTTGTTCGCCAGCACAGGAGTTAAAATCCGCACAGAAGGATGCCAGTACATGTATATTGGTGCCGCGATCGGCTCACCTCAGTTCGCAGGGCACTTCCTAAGTGACAAGGTGCAGTCTTGGCCTGGGCAAGTGAACCGCCTCTCCAACATTGCCATGTCTCAGCCTCACGCTGCCTACTCTGCTTTCACCCAAGCGCTGAAGGGAAAGTGGGCCCTCATCTGCCGACCACAGCCACAGCCATGGAGCCGCAGGAGAAGGCCATTGCGGAGACGCTCATCCCTGCTATCACCGGGCAAACAATCAACAGCGAGGATCGCGGTGTGTTGTCTCTCCCCTGCCGCCACGGTGGTCTCGGTATGGTTAGCCCTACGGAGCTGTCCGACCAGTACAACGGGTCCCGCCACGTCACCCAATCCCTGCAGCGTAACATCGTGACTCAGAGGTTCGAGCTTGGTGGAGCTCCGTATGCTCTGCGGGCTGCCAAAAGAGAGGTACAATCCCGCTCCCGTGATGCTACCCGTACCTTCTCCGTTATCCTGCGAGAATCTTTGACGCCGGACAAGCAGCGAGTGATGGACTTAGCCGCAGAGCGCGGCGCCTCAAGCTGGCTAACGTGTCGACCACTGAGCCGATACGGTTTCGCCCTCTCAAGGGCGAGTTCAGGGATGCCCTCAGCCTTCGCTACAACTGGAGACTTCCCAGGATGTCGGCGACCTGTGGCTGTGGCAGGCCTTTCTCCATCGCACATGCCCTGCCGTGCCCAACAGGAAGTTATCCCTCCATCCGACACAATGAGATCCGAGACGTCACTGCTGGCCTGCTGAAGCGTGTCGCCACGAATGTCGCAGTGTAGCCTCACTTACAGCCGCTCACCGGGGAACAACTTCGCCTCCGCACTGCTATCACTGACGACAATGCTCGTCTGGATGTAGCAGCCAATGGAGTGTGGGGAGGGCGGTTTGAACGCACCTTTATCGATGTCAGGGTCTTCAACCCTTGTGCGCCTTCAAACCAGTCCTCCTCCCTCCCGGCCACCTACGTCCGTCACGAGAAGGCTAAGAAGCGGTCCTACGAACAGCGACTCCGTGAGGTGGAGCACGCATCGTTCGTGCCTGCAGTGTTTTCCACTACGGGTGGCATGAGCAAGTACGCCTCGTCGCTCTACAAGCGCATCGCATCGCTGCTGCCGGAGAAGACGTGCGAGCCATACTCGACAACCATGGCCCTTATCCGCTGCCGCCTTAGCTTTGCCCTTGTGCGTGCTAGCGTCATGTGCATCCGTGGAAGTCGCTCCCTCTTCCCCTCGCGTGTACCGGTGGACTGCCCTGCCTCTCTCGTTAATGCTGAGGCCATCGTTGTACGAGTGTAGTTCTTTCCTGCTCACATGTGCCCCTTATAACTCTTTGCGCGCGCGACCCTCATGTCCGCATATTCCCTTTTTTTTTCTTCTTCTTTTTTCCTGTTGAGGTCCGCACTTTATATACTATAGGTTTTGTTCCACACTACGTATTTTTGCCACGAGCGAAGTGCTCTTGCTTGCGCTTGCACGCGCTCTCCTGAGTCCTGATCGACGTTGTACCGCTCATATCAGCTGGCAGTACTAGTTGTACAACATGCAATATGGTGTGCAGTATGTGTATAACTAAGCACGTACGGAAGCACAAGTAACTATGGATGACTGACCTTGCTCTTGTCCATACGTGGGCAGATACTTTGACTCCAGCTACTGCTTGCTGCAAATCGATCCGATTATCCGAGTCGTCATGGCCCTCATCTGACACCAGCCCAAAGGCTTTTCCAACTTTTGATGCAGTTCCTCCCATTGTCTGCTCAGCTTTCCATCCCACTGATGCGAGCTTGGAGGCGAAATCGCTCAGCTAGTTTTAGTAGTTGGCACACTCTATCTCTGCTTCTTGACTTCACAGTTCACTCTTGTTTCTAATCTGGCTGCTCACAGACATACACACAATTCAGTCAGTCGTTTTGAACATTGCACTGGCAATGTCAATGATGATACATGTACTGATTGTACGCACATGAATCATGATGGATAATCGTGATGCAGAGAAAAATTAGTAGGCTGGCCGCGGCCGCCGCGGCGCCACCTCATCGATCATCATGCCGGCCGGATATGCCGCCGGCCGCGAATGTACTCATGACGTCATTCTGTAGATTCAAAAAAAACTGTCTTTGTTTTGTTTTTTGATTTTGCGACTTCCTGCTTCGCGTAGTTCGTGTTGCTGAACAGTTCAGTGTTGTCCTGCTGTGGATCCTGGATTCCTGGTCCTGTAGCTGGATCTGCATGAATGATGTAACCCAGCCTACTACCCAGATCCAGGCCAGGACAAGTCGTTGGTCCTCAAGAGAGTGAAATAATTAGTGTTGAAACGAATAATCGAATAATCGAATTATTTAGAATATTCGTGGGGTGAACGAATAATCGAATAGTCGTAGGAATTATCAGAAATCGAAAAAAAAAAAAAAAAAAAAAAAGATCTACATGTATGCTCAGTGCTGACCCTGCTGATATTTGCACTGCGTAAATCTGCTCGTAGTATTTCTTCTCAATCTCCTCTCCTCCAAGTTTTAATCTCCTATCGGTATCTAGTATTACTTCTCTTCTTTCCATACGAGGGAACACATGGATGCAGTGAAGATCCAATTACGCTCGACGAAGACCCTAGTACCCTATGCAGAGCTGGATCAGGCGTTGCACACTCTGGGGGGGGGGGGGGGGGGTTATGTACTCTTGGTGGTACAGGTTAACCGGTTTTGCACCTCCACATAACAAAATCCGATAATCAGCAAAAAAAATTCAAAAAAACTACTGAAAAAGTGCTGAAAAAGTGTTGAAAAATGCCGTCATGCATATGATAGAATATAGATTATTCGTTCGATGGAGGGCGAAATTATTCGATAGATTATTCGTTCGAAGAATCCGTGTTCGGTTTAAACACTAGAAATAATCCTAGCTATTACCACTGACCAGATGACCATGCATGGGTGACATGATGTTGACAGTTGCATGACAAGCGCAGCCACAACTGAACTACCTACGTAGACGTGACCAGTGCCAGCATTGGTGACTGAACTAAAGCTAACCATGTAACTGAAGCACTGAGCTGAGGATATGATTGATGGTGGTGGACGATCATGGTAGTTGGTACTGGCAAGGGCCGCCAGGTGTCAAAGTTTCCACTGCTCATACCTTAGCCTCATGACTGAACTCTGGCTCGTTGTTGACAACACTCAGTCATGATATTCTTTCAATAAAAGCATTTTCATTGGGGCCTTTTCGGCTCCAGTCCAGCTAGCGATGAATTTGCCCAATGGCTTCGGACGAGGCCTTCGGGCCGGTCAATGACCTGACTAAACTGGTGTCCGTAAAGCCTAGATGGGAAGGAAGAATGGCCTCGACCGAGCCAGACAGCGAGCCTGGTGCAAGACAAGACGAGAATGGAGATGAAGTATTCTCCGATCGCAGCACATCGACGGCGAAAACCATTTGGAACATCGCGAACGCCATTCAAAGTGTCAGCGTGTTGTCGTTGCCGTATGCAGTGTTCAGAGGTGGCTGGGTTGCACTGGGTGCCCTAATTGTCGTGGCAATCATGTCCAATATCACTGGAAAGGTAAGAGTTGAGCTGCCAGTACTTTGTCCGAAACACACTGACCTTGTGCCTTGTCAACATCCTCAACTGATGAATATTAATTTTGTACCTTGGTATTTTATCATTTGCCATTGGTACGGCAAACTACATCTCCGCACAGTCGGGGTTTTGACATACAACCACCCAGCTTATATACTGTAAAAGCAGAAATTTTCGGTGGTGTTTTATTTTCGGTAACTTCGGTGCCGACAATTTTTACCGAAAATAAAACGCACCGAAAATTTCGGTACAACCGATACTGTATACATGACTAGTACACTTACCTGAAGAACGGGTTTTACCGAAAATTTCCCTCTACCGAACCACCCATTTTGGAGAATACCGAAAATATTACACCACCGAAAATTTCTGCTTTTACAGTAATAGGGCCTACTGTCCACATAGTACAGTGGCATGGCGCCGTCTCAAGTCCAAGCGTAATATTCAAGAACTACCGTATTTCCCCGTAAGTTAGTTCTCCCCAATGACTTAGTACCCCCCCCCCCCCCCCCTATAAAAAATACACTTTCCACTGCCGAGGTTATCACCCCGAAAGACAGTTCCCCCCCGAAAGATAGTAAGTTTGTACCCGTCCTACATATACAGACACCGTACAGTACATACATCATATGCACGGACACTAGAGTTGCGCAGGCTTCCCACTGCGTGTCATTTACCCCCGATAAAAAATTACTCCCCGAAAGTTAGTACTCATGTGGCTGCTAAGTTCGAAAGTTAGTACGTACTATTAAACTTACGGGTAAATACGGTATTGCTCTTTTACTGTACATCAAACACACAAACTCTGTTCGTTCAGCGGCACGGTCGCATAATCCCGGGTATTGCCACTATACAGATCGTCAGTACATAGCACTGGTGACCAAGCACCACACGGCGTCACCATGCGGCATGCATCCATGAACTAACGGTAGATCTACAGGCTGCGCTCATGAAATCCAGCCAAAAGTGCAAAAAATGGTGCCCTGGACCAGTTTCCGATTACATAACTGTACTTGTACATGTGTACGTGCAGCTGCATTCGTACCACTTCCAGCGACCAGCGCGCCATGGGCCGTGCAAGCTGAGGGCGCCAAATATGCACTTTGGGTTGGATTTCACTGAGCACAACTGTACACTGTACTGTGTAGGCATTTTCGCCATGCATAAAGAAGGTGCTGCATGTTCACACCGTTGTCAAGAGATAAACACGACGCACAGAAGATTCTGGTTGCCCAGCGGATTCCATGATACCGTCATCTAAATAATAATTTGATCTCCACCGCGTACCTCATGCGAGCGCTTCTCGGCAACAAGTTTGGCCGCATCCCCGTAGTCCTCCGTGAGCGCATCACCGTTCATGCAATTCAGCACTCGGTGAATACTGTGATTGTGCTCAGGCAGGCAGTGAAGTCATGTGACTGGGTTTCCGCATGGTACACACCTGACTCAACACGACTGATCACACAGCATGGGACTGTGTTCCCAAAAATTAGCAAAATAAAATGGACTAAAACAAATTAAATACACAACAAGAACACGATAATAAGCAACAAACGCGCAGGAGGGAAGCGAGAAATGGCAACTAATCTCGCGATGGTACACACCACCTTGCTCTACTTGTACGATGGGTATTGGACAAGTATGGTCATCAGTCTCATTACACACTGTTGATCCTAAGATATACTGGTGAGATGTCTTGTGTGCACGAGCTATGTTGCTAAGTACTTGCAAAAGTGCTCGATACCGTGTGGCCAGATCCGAATGACACAAGTTTGCTATGGAAAAATGCTAGGCTAGGCATGAACCATTACGTCATTGGTGTCTGATGATTGGCCTAGCACCCATGAAACTCCTTGGCGACAACAATTTTTTAATTTTTTATCCTTGTTCCACTGCAAACTTGTATCTTGTGTGCCTAATGGTTTGGTTTTGTGTCCAGCTGCTGATAGACTGCCTGTATGACAAGCCGTTACCCAGTATGCTGTCTCGCATCACTCAACATCCAGTGGTTGCCAATGTATCAGCCATGGGCAGGATCAATGCTGCTAGCATTTCTGTCAGCGAATCTATGCCGCTTATTGCTGTCAGCCAACCGGTTCTGGTCCGGTCCACGTATGCGTCGATTGGGCAGGCGTGCTGGCCATTCGGCGGTCAAGTGATTGTGCTCCTTGTCCAATGTGTGGAGCTACTCGGTGTCTGCAGTTTGATGTTGGTGCTTATGGGATCGGCCATTGGTATGCTCACCAGTCAATGGTAGGTGTGTCAGTGGGGGTATTTGGCGATTTTTCGTGATTTTGTCGTACACAGTTCAGTGCCGCGGAATTTGAAGTTTGAAAAAGGGTCCGAAAAGGTACATGTCCCTCAACTGGAGTTCGAACTCCATATTAAAAGCAATGATGCAAGGGGAGTAAAGCGGAATGGATTTTCTTGGCCTTTCCCAATTCAGTGCTTATAAGACAAAACCTGACCAAAATCCTAATCTTGTTATGGCTCCTTTTTGGAGAAATGGACTTCAGAAACATAATTGGAAGAGCTTTCCATGGGGGATTGCAGACCAAAATTGTTGAAAAAACTCAAAATTTGACCCGTTTATGGCTAAAAGCTAGGATATCATCTTTTTCTGAATGGACTGTAAGCAAGAATGTACTATGGGGGCATTTTTTTTATATTTTATATCTACAGGTTTGGGTAGAAACTACTTCTTTCGGTACATGCGTTCCTTTTTTTCTACTCAAAAGAGTAGATTCTACCTTCTACCAAACAAAAGCTGGTAGAAGTCGGTAGAACTTGGTAGAGGTACGGGATTTCCAGAAAAATCAAGGAGTTGTACACAACTCCATACAGAAGAGAAACATTTCACGTACATATCGTTAAAAACTACTAAATTCAGTAGGACAGCGTTCGTGCACTTACCTCTACCTTCTACCTCTATCGGTAGAATGACCAGTCTACTCTACTCTACTCTACCAGGTATTTTAAAATGCAGCCTAAGTGAGTTCCACTGTAGTACTGATGCCATAAAAAAAGAAGATATTCTCTAGACATTGTACCGGTGGAGATGATCTGGTGGTTGTTGTAGAGTCATGATTGTGTTCCTGCATCCTTCTCATTGCACACCCTGGTCATTTGCTGGTCAATTGCTGCACAGCTGGCCCTAACGTTACCAGGCTTACCGTTGAAGAGTGAATCAATTTTCTAGATGGAAGCGATCTCAGATTTTTCTTTTCCACTCTACATGGTTGAGTTTCTTTCTCTGTTTTGTGATTGCAATGTACCAACAGGGTTGACCACAGCCTCAACGTGTGGATCACCGTCTCTGCCGGCATTGTACTTCCTACTGTCCTGCTCCCACGCCTGTCACAGCTGGGATGGCTGAGTTTGGTGGGAGTTTTCACCATCTTTGGCGTTGTCAGCACCATACTGGCAAACTCGGTGTCCAAGTACAAAGAGTGGCACTTTGTGAACTTCCCCACACCATCGTGGCAGCATTTCCCCATTGCGCTCGGGATTGTTGTGTTTGGCTATGCGGCGCATGGCCAGTTCCCATCATTCCACATTCGCATGGAGAAGCCTCTGCGGTTTGGCTTTGCACTCAATGTCTCCTTCTTCCTGGTTGCCATTCTGGACATGACGTCTGGTGTTCTTGGTTATCTGGCGTATGGATCGGAAACGAAGGACATCATTAACCAGAACATGCAGTCGCCGTGGAATCACATCATTGACGTTCTGCTCCTGATCAATCTTGTTCTGTCGTACGCACTGCCCATGTTCCCTGTCTCGGCTATGATGGATCGATTTTTACGGCGATACTTCCCTCTGGTAAGTTGTCTATTTCATGCTTGGCTGATTTCTGGGATTTATGGTGTTGTTTCTCCAGTCTTGGGGCCCGCCTCTTTGATGACCACAGTAAAGCTTAGTTCGCATTCGATTGGCGTGACAGGAACCAACGGGACACACATGATGGCGTTAAGTGTGAACACTACAAGTAGGAACGGGAACGCAATTGTATTGTACTACCGTTCGAATTGGGAAACGACAGAATAAATACTCATACCTTATCGGCTTCTGTAGGAACACAGGCGTACAAAGCAGCTGTATTATTAGTGTGAACTGGCGGCGGTGTCATGGTGATGCACGTAGCGGCAACTTAACCAATTTGAGTGTTTTGAACACTACACAACCTTCCCATGATAACCTACCAAATGGCTCACACCACCAAGTTGACACCAAAGCCAGCTCGTTAAAAAAAACCCATGTATTACATGTATTAGAATGGCGCTCAGGTCTCACTTACTTTCTTTGGTCTTCATGTCAAACCGGTAGTGTGCGTACCACTCCGCATCACTTGAGGGGAAATAATAGAAGAGAAGACCAGAAGAAAAAAACAAAACAAGAAACTGTTGCCGAAATCCAATCCGTCCAGGGCCATGCATATGCCTCGCGCTGAGCAACTTTGAGCATCACAACAAGTGCTGCATGGTAAACGCACTGCATGCGACTGTACAGCTGGCCTCAGCCTTGCCGCCGGACAGGCTCTTACACCCTGTAGCATCAGTGTGTTAGTCGAGTGTTCAATGTACAGGCCCCTGTGTCCTTTCCCTCGTATTGCTTACTGCCATACTGGCCGTGCTCTCAATAAGTGTGTCCTTGACTCCACTGAACACTAAGAAAATACCAGGGGAGTGCTATTCTCTACCCTGACACGTCCCATGTACAGGGAGACTTGCTGCAGCGGAGTATTCAAATCCATCCTCCTACACCTGCATATTTTCTATGTGTTTGCTTCCCTGTTGTCTACCAGTGTGGCAAAGCCGGCAATGATGGTGGTCTTCGGCTATTTTATTTCATCACGACGCGGATGTTCTTGGTAGGAATTACACTGCTCGTGGCTGTATCTATTCCCAACTTTCACCTCTTGATGTCGTTCATTGGCAGCATCACGTGCGTTCTTCTTGTTTTCGTCCTGCCGTGCGTATTTCACCTTGTCCTGCACCGCAGCCACTTGACCATGTTGGGCAAGTCTGTCAACATCATTCTTGTTCTTATCTCCACAGCGGCTGGTGTTTCAGGTGTGTATGCCTCATACACGGAGCTTTCATCGAGTTGATCCTTTTCACGTCAACGTATCGTTGCCGGTGTTGAAGCAGTTGCTTTTGATTGAGACTTTATACTCTTATTCTCCTGCAAACAAGCTGGACAGTTTTGATCTGATATTTTAGACCTACGACCAAACATAGTTATGGTAACTGTTCGGTTGTAATTTTATCTTTAGAGCCTTTCAGATGTGTTTGCATGAATCTGCAAGAGACCACTTCTGATATTTATTTTGCACTGACTATCTACAGTACTTTTAGAATGGCTTAATCCGTATATGCATGAGACCTAGAAACGCACATATCAGTTACATGTACCAGTGCCAAGTCTTTTTTAAATTAAAAACGCTAAATTGAAGTCTTCGCTTCGAACACTCGTATTTATTTCGAACAATACCATCAACTAGTCTACTCTTTCTCATCTGTGCGATGTGGCACTGGGAATTATCTTCTGGTCTCGGGTCACGAACTGGCGAGTGCTTTTTTTTATCGCCAGCATGCAGATGTTGTGCTGCTGGAAGCGACCATTGTCCAGGCACCTGTCAATTGTGTATTTTGTTAGAACGCAGTGTCCAGGTCAGTGTGACTCAGTGTTATTTCCATGTACATGTACCCTGTTACACTGGTAAATCTTGCCTTCGGCTAGCTGTGTGCCACCGGTGCACCAAGCCACCATGCACTTGGGATCAGCGGATCAGGCGGAGCGGCACATGCACGTGCACACTCGTAATCGAGTACTATCAAGAGTATAACCCCGGGGGGGGGGGGGGGGGGGGGTATACTCTTGGTACTACGCTCAAACGTCTCTTATCCGGACACCTCAGATACGGGCATGCCTCTCTACCGGGCACCTTCAGCTTGAGTTCCTATGGCAAAAATGCTTTGAATTTGGGCAAGAGTGCATAAACATTTATGGACTCTTTTTTGGGGGGGGGGGGGGTTGAACTTTTTTTGTATGCGCAAGTGCTTATTTGTCACTATAACAGTATAATTGTATAATAATAAACGACCTGTGTAATGAACTAATGATCCACACATTTTTATCAAAGGATTCTTTTTGTATCCTGGACATGTATGTGCCTATGCGCCAAATATACTTCTTATAAAAATGATACAATACATGGTACTTGAGTTACCTGAGATAGGGGCAAATCTGAAATACGGGCAGTGCCCGGTCCCAAGGTGCCCGGATATATGATAAGAGACGTCCGAGTACGAGTGCAGTAGTGTACATGATCATGGGCAATGCATGTGTGACGCATCTATTGACAAAGAGCAAATGATGTAAAGTAATGTCGTGCCTTCCATAATGCTTGGACTTGAAAAAAGTAGCATTTAGCCAGTGAGTACTGTGGTACTCTAAAGATTTCCTTGAGTATGGATTTGTATTGCTCAAATAATGGAGGTGAATACGCCAGGAAATCTTTAGATTTTTCATAATGTAGCAGTAGGGGATAGTCCGAAAAGATTCTTGGTACACTGCAGTATACATAATTATAATATACCATGCACATCATAAGCCGCGTCATGTTCCTGCTGTTGGAGCTGTTTGTGCTGGTACCACTGTGGTTGTCGTAGCTGAACATGATGATGCTGCTGCTGCTGTTGCTAATGAGGAGATTTGGGTTGATTATGTGACGATAGGTGCTGCAAATGGTTGTTGTCAGGGGTTGGTGCTACAGCTAGTTGTGCTATTACGACGGGTTATTTTGCAGCAACAAATTGTGGGGCTTTGAAGGGTTGTGCAGATTTGCTGCAAGGTTTGTGCTGGTGCTTGAGGTGCGCTCACGCTGCACATACTCCCCCCCCCCCCCCCCCCCCCCCCACTGAGGCCGCAATCAGGATTTGTAACGTAACTGTGACGTTCAGTTCATGTGTGTGCTGTTGCCATTCAACTTACCCGCTTTTGCGCATGGCCACTGGTTTTGGTCGCAATATGAGCATGCCCTCAGTGGGTTGTACTGCTGCTGCTGCGATTGTTGCTGCTGCTGCCACTGGCATTACCGCTACCGCTGGTGTTGCTTTTTTTAGCATTGTTGCTGCTGTCGCTCCTCCTGGGACCCGTGTTGCTGCTGTGATCGTTATTGAGTCTGTACACTTGCCGTTGCAGTCTTGAATCTGGATCACTTTATCAATGGTCCTTGTGCACGTTGTACAGATGTACGAATTCCCGTAGTTGTTTGTATTCCTGCTTGGGTGTTCGTTGTGTGCCATACATGCACATTTGACCAATTTAGACCAATAATCATGGGAAGACAATCGCTTTTCCAGCTTCATCACTTTGGATAGAGCTCAAGACTAGCTAGATCTTCTTTGGAAAAATGGTTCCGTATGAAATGCCTTCAGGGCACGTTTCATAAAGCAAAGAGCAGTGAACACGTTTTCCTGTACATTCAACACCCAACACAGTCTACAGGATTCTACAAGATTCTATGAAATTTCTTGCATCTGTACAGCATTACTTGTTGAGTACAGAAACCCATGACTAGGCATTACATGAGTTGAAAATGTTGCCGCGGTACATGTATTTGTCGCGAAGTCTACGTGTGGTATATCGGTCCTGTGGAAACCACGAAGGTGTCTTCACAGTTGATTCTTTACCACTGCGTGTTATTGTGTGTGTCATCTACAGATGTCATGGAGAACGTGTGCAGCATACCTTTCTGAACCCCGACAGACATGTGTCGGTCAACCATTGACATTATAGCAATGTATGCATGGCAGCAATGTTTATCAGCTCAGCCGAATGTCTATATGTTTCCACCACGTCGATCAGGAAGGTGTGTACATGCTTGATTCTGCATGTAACTGTGTGGCTTGGCCTCTAGCACTGTATACTATTGTGTATATTCTGCTTCAAACATTCACCACAGTGACTTCCAGAGGTTAAGACAATTTGATAGCAGTTCGAATGGCATATCTCTCGCTTGCATACGATAAGCCAAACTTGCCAAATCGCCAATTCTTTGCTCACGTTGCCATACCACGTCAATCATATACATGTATCATACATTACATTGGGCTCTTTCGATTACACATTCTCGACCCAGGTTTTATAATCCTTGAATGACCAGAATGAACGGATTGCGGCTATGTAAACAAACTACACGTAGAAATCGTAAAGGGGGATCACGTGGGATCCCGTACACCCTCGCCCGCAAGTGTACCTAGCATGGCGTGTACGTCGAGTGTGTAATTTCTGAATTCTAGAAACGACGAGATTTTGTGTAATAGGACGTGCCCATTGTAGATACTTCTTACCTTAGTTGGTGCCATTCTGGAGTTGTTGCTTTTTTGTGTTGCTGTGTGCAGGGTGTCTGGTTCTTGCCTCTGCCGCGGAAGATTCCATCGCTGCTCCAGGATTGAGTTGTAGAGGAACTGCAGCATGTCCGACCCATTTCGGTGAAGCACGATGCCGTGATTGATCAGTGATGGTGATGATGGCATGTACCTGGTGGTCTGTGCTGGCTGGTGCACGCTACCCTATCCACAAGTTGCCTGTCAGGATGTGCAGCTAGGCATTGTAACATGTGCTGCAATACCAACCTTCTGGTGTCACCTCTATCTGGAAGTTGACTTGCAGATACTACTGTATCGGAGAACAAGTTTGGCGAGTCCCGCCGTGGCTGTTTTGTGATCGCTGTTGACGCATTCCACATGCTAGTCTATCATGTAGCTACTAAGAATTAGCATGGCGCTTTGGCATTTGGGATACGTGGCAGTGCATGTCACCCTCACAGTCGTCAGCACTGCACAGTGGGTTGGCCGGCTACTCTTCGCTGCCGGCCATTTCGCTATACCGTTATCAGGCTTTATGCGAGGCCAGCTTATACATACATTATGCTGTTGACGGCTTTCTGGCTTCGCAGTCTTGTACAGTTTGTGGATGCGTAAACTGGTATGGCTCTTCACATATTGCGCGTTCCGGGCCACATTGCTGACATTGCCGCATGTGTTCGTCCCATTTCTATTATCCAAATAAGTGTTTATTTTCATTCCTTGTTATGGTGGTATCATGGTGGTATAGTTTCCAGCCTCCACCCACTGTTTCTGATTTCGGCTGTGTTGCAGTAGCTCGCCAGTATGATAATCATTATGACTATATGACGCGAATTTCAAATAAAATATGACTGCTGAAAACCTGGCGAGAACAGACTAACTCGATAAATGGCACTAAAAAGAATCCTCTCACCGATACATCTAAGCAATATCTGTGCACACATGCAAAAAGAATTGCAATCGGTTAGTGCCAAACAATGCGGCACGAAATCTGCGGAGGGACGTTTTGAATCCAAGAATATATTTACCATCCAGAAAGCCGACGAGGACGACACTGTTTCTCATCTGTGGCCGTCGCGAAAAGATCTCAGGGGAGTGTGTATCCGTAGGATTGTGTAGAGCGCAAAGAATCGAAGCGAAGTGGAGTATTCTCGGTGCGGCGGCTGTCTTTGTTTTCGTCGGCATTTTGTTGTCTTGAGAATTTTCCTCCACGAAGGGCTTCAAATTTCCCGCGACTGCAAATAAAAGTGCAACTTTTAGACGGCTTTTTTGAATCTGGCGATCCTACTATACTGTCCAATGATTTTGCTGGCCTTTTTCATGACATCATCACGTACGGTAATTCTTTTTGTCCAAAATAATTTTAATATTAAAAAGAGCAAAATATTTTTCTAAATAAAATAATTAATTGTTCAGATCAGATTTCCGTACTTGCGAAGTGGTGCCAAATAATTTCTTTCCAGGTGGTCTGGTATTATAGCACAGCAGGGCTGTCCATAGATTTTATCCAAGTAGTTACTTCCTCTTAGTGGAAGTTGGGGTGTTCGAGTAGAGCATGAGCTTCGTATCGGGTGGCGTGTTGGCCGGCAGTATTCCCGGCTTGAGCGAATCGTTCAAAGCCAGTACTGGCAGTAGCAACAGTGACAACAAAACTGTTGACGACGAATTACCCCAAAAAAGTACAGAATGTAACTCTGAGGGCTCTGCAAAAAGCAACCAAGATAGTGTACAAAAGCCGACCGTCGTCACCGACAATGGTGCTTCAGTGAATTCAGAGCCCACCAAGGATGCAGGCAACGCGGAGGCAGTGAAAGAGGATGGTAAAGGAACCGAGGACGCGACTTTTTTTGAGTGCTTGGTGTGTCGAGTGGCCCTGGCGACGGAGGAGCTATTGGGTCAGCATAACGAAAGCCAGAAGCATAAGTTAAATACTCAGGCTGCTGCAAATAGTTACGTAGAAAATATCAGACCCTTGTACTGTGTGATATGTAAGTTACAACTGAACTCCAAAAGCCAATACCATCAACACGTTACGAGTAAAAAGCACAAGCAAATTGAGGCGGACCTGCTCGTGTCCGGTGAATTGCCTACTACTGCCGGTCAACCGACCCCACTGGAGGTGCTTCATGGGCCTGTGCCCCGCCCACCAGTGAGGCGCCCTGCTGGACCAGTCAACTTTGCCGAAGACCAATTTGATGATCTGTTCAATGGAATGGAGCAGACACCAACCATGGCTCGCCGAGCGCCAGTGTCTTCAGCAGACCCATCGAACACTAGCTGCGCCACCGCACCACAGGCAGCCAACGGCAGTGATGCAGCGAGGGAGCAAAAGCACACCGGTGGTCCACATCAGCCTGGAAAGCAAACCACCGGAGCCGCGAGGCCCCAGCGAAACAATGCCCAAGGCTTTGCACCACGCGGCGGCCGGGGAGGTCCACCGCGTGGCGGCCGAGGAGCCGGTGGCAGGGGCAGGAATCAGCGTCCTTACAGCGAACCCCCAAGGCCCGGTCGTGAGCCACTTATTCCGTCGGCCTGGCATGGAGAACATCATGGGCCAGCACCACCGTTTAACCATCATCCACAGCCCTGGTACGGTGGGGACCATCAACGAGCTCATCATGAGGAGGCGGCCCGGTGGCACGAAGAAGAGCGAAGACGAAGACAGTGGCATGATGAACAACTGTGGCGCAGTGGTATGCATCACTTTGAACCCAGGCCTGATGCGCGAGGCACTGATCGCTACTTCAATGAACGTCCGTCGCACCATGCATGGTAACCAATATGCCTTGTAGGCATTGCTTCTCTTCCGCTCCTACTGTGATTGCTCTTCATTTTCGCATTGTCACCTCTTGATACAGTCCATCTGCTGGTTTGCCATTTCGAGTGAGTGTATGTAGCTAGTCTGCTTCGGCTCCTGGCCATACTTTCATGATGTCCATGTCTGGCTACTTCTGTGTGTGTGGGTTTTTTTTTCTCCTGTGATGTATCCTTTACTAGCTGCGGACACTTGCACCACGCTTTCAGCTTTCTTTTTCTTGAGCACCCAGTTGGCGAGTGCTGCTTTTCTTGTCGCCATGCAGCTGCATCTGACTGTGCGTTGTGTTTGTCTGTACCGCCAGTTGTTTTTTGTTTGCGATTGTCTTCGCCTTTTGAAGTGTATTATCTAGTTACTGCTGTTTCCAGGCATACAGTGCCTTGCCTCCCACAGTTTGCTTTCTTCAATCGTGGACTGACAGTGTACACAGTGTACACAGTATCATGCTAGCATCTGTGACTGGTAAGAATACCGTATTTCCCCAATTATAAGTCACGCTCGATTATACGTCGCACCCCCGTTTTCAGGTTTCAGCGATATTATTTCGACATGATCACTTCAGTAGTAAGTCATGCTCGATTGTAAGTCGCACCCCCTTTCTCACCCTTGAATTTTTGTGTAGAAAGGTGCGACCTATATATTCGGGGAAATACGGTAGTTCTTGCACTGTTGATCTGCATGCACGTCACCAGCGTAGTAGCAGCAGCGTGCAGTGTTGTTGTCTGTGTTCTTCTTGAGTGTCGTGTTCTGCATGGAATAGGATATTGGCTATACTGAGCAATCAACGGTCAGTCACCATGGTCATCTGGACACGGTTGCCAGCAACTGAACAGTAAGCATGCAGTCGCACTTGCTTTCTTACGAATATGTACATCACTTTTCTGTTCATAGAAACCAGCACATATCAGTGTCTGTGTACTGCAGGCACCACTGTGCACTGTGCACTCATACAGCCACCAGCCCTCCAACACATGATCTTGGCCTGAGAGCATTGCAGGCTGTCCAACCGTCCTGCTTTGGACCAAAACATTTATGTACATTTACATGGGAGACAATTGCCTTTGTATACATTTTATATAGGTGTCCTGCTTTGGAAAAGTGGCAAGGTTGGACAGTCTGGCATTGTAATTATTTTGTAGCAAAGGGTACCACTGCCAACGCCGGGGGGGGGGGGGGGGCATTTCGGACGAGATCACTAATTACTAAATAATTAATTAGACTCCGCTGGCGAGCCTTGGATTAAAATTACATACAAGTTAGTACACATTCATCAAGGGTCGACCCGGTCACAGAGGCAGCGTCACAGCCTACACTGGGGCGGATCCAGGAGGGGTTTCGCGGAACCCCATAAATTTCGTAACTGTACTGAGTTGCTGGTCACTACGGTATGCGTGTCCATGTACATGTATGACGCTATTCAGTTTTGACCATACTGGAACCCCCTGTAGAGATGGCTGGATCCGCCGCTGTACCGTGCATTCCAACTTGGAATAATTGCGGAACCCTCCAAGCTGGAATGCTGGTGGCGTGCACATTTGAGACATGGAGCTCTAAACATCGGGTTGTTGAATGTCAGTACCACAATGACATCAGCATTATTGTTGTGCAAGCTGTTGCACATTGCGACTCGCCAGTATCTTGTTAGTGTTGGACAGCTACAGAATATAACATGTTCTAGGGCTGAAACGATCGTGGATTTTCATTTTTCACGATTTTCATTTTTCACCTATTGATTACTCTTCACTGGGCCTTTGTTTAAAGTTTAACGATTAATTACTGTAGAACCAGAAAGTTTAACGACCAAAAAGTTTAACATTTCTGTAATTTAAATTAATTTTGGCATGATTACGTGCAGAACGTTTAACGATGGCTACCTGGCCACCCATCTTTACACAGACATCTAGCGATAACGTTTTTTTCAAATAACGAAAAATAATTGGTCGTTAAAACGTAGACTTTGAGACTCATTAGACTTTCCGGTTTTACATTATAATTGTTGGCAAGCCGTGCCAATTTTTGTGCAAATTTCTCCGTTTCTCCAAGCTACAGTGTATGTCTTCATAATACCACAATTTTTGCATTAGTGAAAGCGTAGCTCCAAAACACGGCAGTTTTGAACATCAGAGCACAAACCATACCTCTGGCAACTGCATACTCACTGATTCAAACTAAAAAAACGGGGGAGGGGGGGGGGGGGGGGGGGTCAGTACTTTTCGGATTCAAAATCCCAAACGAGTAGTCTATAACGTAACAATTAGTTAGGGAAAGTGCGAGCAACAGTGCGGGAGCCACCAAATTCCTTACAAGATTAGTTGATTGTCAGGAACTATCGATCGATTACCGAGTATTAAATCAGTATAATCGTTTCAGCCTCGCATCCAGAAGACTACGATAAAGTTTTTGATCTCAGGCTGTACAATCATGTATAGGTGAATTTCCCCCCTTGGCACTTCCTGTCACCGTGGTTACGATGCCATCATCATGAACCCTGAACAATTTGTAATTGAGTAGTGATCCGTAACGTATAGAATAAGAGATACGAAAATATAAGATAGCCAAAAAAAATAGATTTGTGATGGAGTAGTGATCTGGTGGCATAATCGTATGCTGTGTGCATGTCAAGGAGTGAGATACAAATCGAAAAGCTCAGCGATAGGCTGACTGGTTGTAGATAAACTGGTTGGAGGAAAATCCGCATCTTAAATAGGAGCACACACACGCAATAGAATAACCACCAGTAGAGACTGCTCTTGCAGCTAGCCGCCGCCGCGGCAGCAGCTATCGCTGCTACGCGGCCTGGGCTCAAACTGGGCTCAAAGGCAGAAGACGCAAGTAAAGGGCCTAGACGGTATGCACACTGTGCGGTAAACAGAGCTGGAAGTTCACGCAGGCATCAGGAAATATACGACAGTTCAGCAGTGAAAGGAGGACAAAAAAAGGCTTCAATGAAATTGAATGTCACGTAATTTCCTCAAGACCGAGAGTCAAGAGGCTTCATGCGACACAAGACGATGCTTGGCGGAAATTCTCATGTACAAATTCATCAAGGCTCACAGAGTCAGAGTAGTTGAAATGCTGGCCACTTGCAGTCCCAGGTGTTGCCAGTGTTATCGGTACTCATGCAACGGCATATTGCTACATGCCAGTGTTATCAGTACTCATGCAACGACATACTGCTACACTATCATATGCACGTACACAGTAGAGATGGCTGTTTCATTGCCTTGACATGGGCCATGAAGGGTACGGCCACTCTGCGTGTCTAGTGGATGCGATGTGTCAAACTACAGATTGCAGGCACATACATAGTACATGTCCACATATACGTGCTGCGGGTGTGGCTGCAAGTGACTCTGGACTACTGTGTCCACATATACATGCTGCGGGTGTGGCTGCAAGTGACTCTGGACTACTGAGTACTGTGCAACTCCAGGCAAGCCATGGGTACAACTACCCCGTGCAGGAGGTTTAGGTGAACTACGAACCGCTGCTTGATCCAACTACAGCGCTATGCGCATCACATGCGCGTATGTACACTAACATGAGCAAGTGCCTCTGCACTGCAGGTAGAAATGAAACAAAACCCGGATGGAGCTGGGCTACGGTGGTGCATATGTGTGATGTGCCTGTGGACTAGTGCAAGATGAGTGCTAGACAGCATAATGAACAAACGCGGATGTTTCTCACACTACGTAAGGACAGTGTATCGTACTTCGGATGCTGATGTGGTACGGGTTGATTTCTATGTTATTGTGTAAGGTCGAGCACGAACTTTGAGGGTGACGGATTTCGTTGGATACTACACACTCCCACACAGCAGGACAGAAGAGAGTAGAAACCCGGCCTATAATGCACAAAAACACACACAATGACAGCAACACACACACACACACACACACACACACACACACACACACACACACACACACACACACACACACACACACACACACACACACACACACACACACACACACACACACACACACACACACACACACACACACACACACACACACACACACACACACACACACACACACACACACACACACACACACACACACACACACACACACACACACACACACACACACACACACACACACACACACACACACACACACACACACACACACACACACACACACACACACACACACACACACACACACACACACACACACACACACACACACACACACACACACACACACACACACACACACACACACACACACACACACACACACACACACACACACACACACACACACACACACACACACACACACACACACACACACACACACACACACACACACACACACACACACACACACACACACACACACACACACACACACACACACACACACACACACACACACACACACACACACACACACACACACACACACACACACACACACACACACACACACACACACACACACACACACACACACACATCACCACCATAGTAGAATACTATGATAATAAATTTTCTAATCAATCAATCCAGCTAATACTCAATCACAGAGCAGTCACAGGGCAGCGCTTTGCAACCAAACAAAGGATGAAGAACGGTGAAGGAGATGCTACGGCATGTAAATCTGTGTGTGTGCGCGCACGCGCGCGTGAGTGTGTGTGTGTGTGTTTACACAAAACCAGCATGAAGCTGTTCCATACAGCAGCTGGCCATGTAACACGCCTGAAAACTGGTCACGGAGAGACAAAGTTAATGTCAGGTATGACTCACCGCAAAATCAGAATGCTGGCCGCCTCGCCTGCTGACTCCATTGGCTGAAGTTGCTGCTTGGACTGGACAGAAACGGGTCATTAGGTGCTACCTGCCTGCCGGATGATGCCATTGCATTTGTTCCAACAGGCATGCTCCTAGCAACAGGTCTTCCGCCAAATAAGTCTGCGTTGTCAAACACTGGCCACCAAACACAAAGAAGCCAGCAAAAGCAGGAAAAGCAAACGAGAAGTCAGCAATTTCGCAGAAGCCCAGGGAACGAACAATATTCATTTCGGGGAGAGAGTTATAGCCGAAATTTGCAAAGCAGGCTTCATGAACGTACATGTGTATATATGCGTGCATGGCATTTGCTGCTTGCGAAATCCCCGCCTTTGAACAATTCACACTGTATCATGCTCATGCATGCGTGTGTCGGTGGGTGACATACAGGGCTGCTCCTGAATGAAATCCAATCCAGCGAGACAATGCCACGCTGGGCGCTGTGCACGCCTATCTCCGGGTCTCCTTCACATTCAAAGGATACCGGTACTCTTTTGTATGCTACAGTATGGCGATTTCACTGTGAAGCCAGACTTCAGAACAAATGCCTCGGTCAATTTTCTTCAAATTCCGCAGATTCGAACAGGTTCATTCGGTTACCTGTTGACAAAACAAGGGGGTTCCCCGTGAGTAAGTCCCTCCGAACCCAGCTCTGGCTTTGACTCATACGAATACGCCTACTATTTCCAGCTTGCAGTGGCCGGAAAGTATGTTGTTCATGACTCACCAGTACTGCTTGCATCACCCACACTACTGGCGTTGGCCTGGTCGGCAGTCGTGGCTGTAGCTGCAAACATGCAGAGCGCAGTGTACAGAGCGCTCTTTCAGTAATCAATTCAGTAGCTTGGCCATGGTACAACGCAATCACCAAAGTTGAATGTTAATTAACAGTCCCTAGTCACTGCATGATGAAAGGGATGCTGCACATACTAATACATGATGAATGGGATGCCGCACATAGTAATACAGTGGAACTTTGATAAGATGTACCCGGACCATGGGAAGCAGAAAAGTATACTAATGTCTTACTACTATCCAATGTACCATAGAGTCTTGTATTAAAGGTTTCCCAGAACTCTCAATTTTCTGTACAGCAGGTTGACTGAATAAATATCATGCACAGTGCCTCAAACATATCCCCCTCCCCCGAATAATCTTTTAAGATTATGGGTAGGTGGGCTTCTTCTGTGAGTCGAAGACTCAAAGACTCACAGAAGAAGCCTGCCGGCACAGCTCCTGCACTGCTTGGATCATTGTGGCCCTGCAGGATAGATGGAATGAACACAAAATAGAACATACTCATGATATGCTGCTGCTGCTCAGAATGTGCTACATGTACTTGGAGGCACGCCATGGTACACCACTGCCCTCCTAACATACACATGCCATGGTACACCACTGCCCTCCTAACATACACATGCCATGGTACACCACTGCCCTCCTAACATACACATGCCATGGTACACCATTGCCCTCCTAACATACACATGCCATGGTACACCACTGCCCTCCTAACATACACATGCCATGGTACACCATTGCACTCCTAACATACACATGCCATGGTACACCATTGCCCTCCTAACATACACATGCCATGGTACACCACTGCCCTCCTAACATACACATGCCATGGTACACCATTGCCCTCCTAACATACACATGCCATGGTACACCATTGCCCTCCTAACATACACATGCCATGGTACACCACTGCCCTCCTAACATACACATGCCATGGTACACCATTGCACTCCTAACATACACATGCCATGGTACACCATTGCCCTCCTAACATACACATGCCATGGTACACCATTGCACTCCGAACATATACAGTCAAACCTCGTTAGGACGAACACTGATAAGGCGAACTTTCCATTAGTACGAACTAAGGCCAATCCTATGGTTGGCCAGGCATCAATTCAAGTCAAAATTAAATCATTCGTTTACGACGAACTTCTGTACAGCGAACTTTCGCGAAGACGAACTATTTTCAAGTGTGATTTGAACAAAGTCAGTGTGGTCATGTACATGTAGTACGAACTTTCGGTCCACGAGCGTGCGCGCGTGCGCTGGCTGTCTTTTCTCTTCTTCTTTTTTCAATACTCGAGGTACGTACAGTGCAAATTGTTTTCAAGCGTGTTTTGAACAAAATAATCAGTGTGTTATACGAACTTTTGACACAGTCGTGATTCATTGCACTTTGTCATTGTACTTACCTGTTTCTGGCTTATGCTAAGAATAACATGCTTCCCATGTACCACAGCATGCACCTTCACGTAAATACAATCCATCTGATATGCATATCGATTTTTTGTCAGATCTGGATAAGAAGAACTCCCGATAAGACAAACAAATGTGTTCAGTTCCTTGAAGTTCGTCCTAACGAGGTTTGACTGTACACGCCATGGTACACCACTGCCCTCCGAACATATACACGCCATGGTACACCACTGCCCTCCGAACATATACACGCCATGGTACACCACTACCCTCCGAACACTATACATGTACAACATCTATGAAATTCGGACGTTGAGCCAATAGTATTCATGTAAAATTGTAAAGAGAAAAGGACCTATAAGTTACTAGTTATGACTAACAGTCCACCAAGGTAACCAAGGTAACCAAGGTAACGAGATAATATACAGTCAGATGGCGTGTTCCTCAATGAACTTTCCACACCTAAGCCTTCCAAGTTGGAAGGTTTGCGCTTCATAGATGTGTTGGAGCTAGGTGTCAGGTTGTTGAATGTCTCAGTACCCCAGTCAGTTTTGTGCCTTGTTGTCGCACCATCTGACAGTATATTATCTCGTTACCTTGGTGAACTGTTAGTCATAACTAGTAACTTAGTGGTCCTTTCTCTTTACATGAACAATGAACATCTATGAAGTTTTTTAGAACACGGAGGCTCCACTGCAGCCAATTCCGGCATAGCACGATCAGTCAACGACCTTGGGGTAGTTTTAACCGTCATATAAATTTCACCCATTGAAACGCCGAACGAAATTTCAACTTTGCCAGGTCATAACTTTAGTTGTACTCACTCGATTTTTATAATCTTGGGCTCGTTGGAAAGCTCTGGACGAGACCAGCACGATGATACCACATTCTTTGCCTCAGCAGTCACACAACCAGCGCTGGAACGCAGCGACATCGTCTCAACGCCAGGCATGCAAATGACAACTTCAAAACTCCGCCATGGCCGTCTCCTTCAGTGTTCAAATTTTTTTTGAGAGATCGAGCATTTCGTGAGGAATACGTTGGTCGCGAGCAACAGTCACAGAGCGCGTGAAGAAACGGGGAAATCCCGTGACGACGTCAGCCGCGCGCCCAGCGCAGCGGAAGTGACAAGCGTGCAGTACTCAGCGCTTGATAACTCTGCTCAACTACATCGTAGCTCAATGCGGATTTCTGCAACAGAAAGCCTGGAAAATTCGCAACCGAATCGATAGTAAATTTTCTGTCGTGGGTAAAAAATCATTCCAGTGCGAGTATTTCAAATGATGGGTCGAATTCGACCCACAAATGTATGGTCTGACGGTTAAAGGGTTAAGGACATTTGGGCAAGCATCAAACCACCAAAGATGGTCTGGGAATCCCCCGGATAGCATAACACTGGGAATCCCCTCCGGATAGCATAACACTGGGAATCCCCTCCGGATAGCATAACACGGGGAATCCCCCGGATAGCATAACACTGGGAATCCCCCGGACAGCATAACACTGGGAATCCCCCGGATAGCATAACACTGGAAATCCCCCGGATAGCAAAACACGCCAACTTGCGTGCCTGAGCAATATCCTGCAATGAACACAAAATGTACGAGAAGGGACCATCAATGCACGGTTCAGTGTGCAGCAGCACGTGAATCTGGCATAGACAGTATAGCATACATGACACCAACACTGTGGTGCATGCACGCCTCATACACAAGAACCAACACGCCGCATTACTAGATCGTCCTGACATTACTACCGACTAACCTCAAGAGCAGGCATTGGAGAGATACCGTGATCACTTGACTGTGATGACCAGTGTGCAGCTTCATCTGTCGTGTTAGAGTCGCTCAAGCTGGATACCAGATTGGAGGTTAGCAGCTGGTCCATGTTGAACTCGTGTACTTGCTGCTGCTGCTGCTGCTGCTGGAGATGTGCTGCACGCAGCTGCTGTAGAGCGGGTGCATGATGTTGCTGCTGCTGCTGCTGCTGTTGCTGCTGCTGCTGTCCATTCATCTGGCCCACAGTGGGAAGGTATTGGACTCGTTGCAGATATGGCTGCGCCGCACCTCTACTAGACAGACCGTGTGGCAGGCCAGGAACAAGCATGTGGTCCACAGAGCAGGATAGGTTGGAAAATTCAGTATTCTCCAAGCCATGGTCAGTCCGCCGAGGGTAGGCGTAAGACATCGACATAGCACTCTGCTGGTGGAGAGATGAATGAGGGCTGGTCGCTTCGGCTTTGATTTTCGGGCTGCTGACCACATGGTAGTCAGCCGAGCCGATGGAGCCAACATGACTGTTATCCATGTAGCCAGTGCCTACACGTGACTCACTGATGGCGTCCATATCACTGTTGTCTTCATCAAAGCTGGATTGGGTGCGTTTGTACGCCTGGGCAGCCGGTATGGGTACTGACGCCGTCACAGAAGTGCGACCCATTGTCACCGACCCAGCAGTAGCGGTGGTGCCTGTTGGTGATACAGACATTGCCTCCGCAGTGTAGGTCGGTGTTGCCTGCTGGCTGAAGCCATCCACGCCTGACATATCCACTGGAAGCAAAGGTGGAAAAGCGGCCTAGGAGTTTTATCGAAAGGGCATACAGGTGAATAAACGGGTTCTGGCTTTTCATAGACCTTTGTATCAACACACCACGCGGGGAAGAACGAGAGAAATGAGAACGCAAAGAATACAAAACAACACGGCACAACACACAACGAAACAAACGCACAACAGCACAAAACGAAACGAAACAAACACACAACAAAACAAAACAAGCGCACAGCAGCACAAAACAATGCAAGGCAACACACAACACCACAGAATGAAACAACGTACAGCACAACACACTGCACAAATTGCAGATACGAGTCAGTTATAGCCATGTTCACTTGAAGTTTTGAATTGCACAATATGATCAGAAACGCCCTCGATAGTGCGCGCTACTCAAACGAGAACAAGCGGAAGGGCACCCAGCTGTTGACTTGCAGATACAAATGCCTGAAATGGGTGTATGGGAACTGTGCACTATTCAAAGAAGACAAGAAGTCATTTCTCAACTATCTTGCTGCGCTCGACTGGCGAGAAATGAGAAATTTTTCATCCCTGTGTTCAAACTGGCATAGAGAGTATACTCTGCGGGTACTTGGAACAAATCACCATGATCAGTTGATCACTAAGACATTGGACGGGTCTTTGATGGGTCACATAAAACTCCCACACAAGAAGCCCCGGGTACAGTTAGTCAGTACAACTCCCCTAGTTCCTTACTGTAATGACCCACACAAAAGCCCATGCACTTATAACGTTATGCGTGTTTTTGCCATATTTGCCATTTTTGCAGGTCGATTGTTCTCACCTATAGCCGCGTGTGCTTGTCATTGAGTCACCAGTATGAAAAGTGGAAGTTGCGGATCAAACCCTGTAATGGTCGTACGAGTATTAAGGTGGCGTCAGTGTGTCGCGGGATTGGGCTCACTTATATGCCCACGCGCTTATATGGGAGGGTATGCTTACACTGTACCCTGATACAGGAACATGCGCTTTCATAAGCGGCAATGCCGTAGAGTATAGTGGCATAGGCATAGTGGGATGGTCTAAGACCATGATTGAGAAACAGAGGGCACCAGGTTCAAGTCCTGCTTGGAAGCGGGATATTTTCCAGCCGTGCTGCGACCCACAGTTAAATGGGAACTCATGGCCTGGCACGAGGAAAACATGGATGCAGTGATTGGGATTTTCGGTCTTTAACCACTTGCTGGTGAGCTGATCTACTCACCTCTCACCGCTTTAGGAGCTGCATCTGCGCCTTGATCCTTGAACGGTGGTGGTATTCCTACGGATGCGGAAACGCTCTGAAGCGAACCGTGAAATATATGTTTTGCCCTAGAGTCTGGGGCCACAATGAAGTGTGTAATATACAAGTACAATGGTGTCACATCAATGAGCAATTCACTGTCAAGACTCACATCACAAGAACACAACATGTTCACATGCTAGCCGGACAACTGTGACATTGTTACCAACCAAAACAATGGATCAGTGCTGCACCAAGACACATAATGCTTTGCGTCTTGACAGTCAGATTTGCACTGCAGCACAGCGGGAATCATCAGTCTACTACATGTAAGTAAACAACTGACACAGACAGCAGCGAGCGGTACCAGTACAACTTACTTGCAGCCGTACAGTGTACAATGAACACTACACTTCATACACCAACACACCACAAAGAAACGTTTTTAAACGTAAAGTGGGAGGTAAAGGCCCGGGTTACATGATGGAGGAGGAGGACTAACAAGAGGAGGCGGAGAAGGTGAGGAGAGTGTGTGTGTGTGGGGGGGGGGGGGGTAGGAAAGCCATGAGCTGTGCATTATAACCGACCCACTGGAGAAAAGCACACAATCCTCGAAATAGGCCAACAGGGCTGACTGCCTTGCATTTCTTTTCCCCAAGTCTCCAGATTAAGTGGACTTAGCAGTGCACATGGCCAGATTTTAAGTGGACTTAGCAGTGCACATGGCCAGATTAAGTGGACTTAGCAGTGCACATGGCCAGATTAAGTGGACATAGCAGTGCATATGGCCAGACAAAACATGACAGTCATATCCATGTCCAAACTCACAGTGCAATATTGAACCAAGAAACTCACAGTGCAAGATTGAACCAAGAGACTCACAGGGCAAGATTGAACCAAGAGCCCCAATGGGGTACAGCCCCTTGCCCCACATACTAATTTTGATAATTACCAGTGTCACAACACAGTAGTCGGATGGAGCACACTGCTAGTGCTAGTGCACGGTAGGTATGCTGCATCACAGACCACCATGCAAAGCATGTGAGAACATGGGCACGAGGACAATGGAGCAATGGGCAGCAGCAGCCGCTAGGTGTCCGTGCATACTAGGCACACTTACCGCCCAGATTGTTCCAAACCTCGTCAATGTCGTACGCTGACTTCGTCTCATGGTACAGCTGACAGTCTGGTAATAGCATGGGTCATGACGACACACACGCACACACGCACGCACACACATATACACACCAGTAACGGGAATGATTCATATTCTGCCACTGGTAAATTACTATTCACTTGGAATGAGCACAGACATATTGGTACAATCCGTTTTTAGTGACCCTTTCTGCATCCAGAAATACGATGACACAAAGGCGAATGCTAAAGCTGATGAAGTTAAAATCTTTGCCAATAACCTTGCTTTGACTAAGGTTAATTCGTTAATTCGAAGAAAAGTTTGAAAAGTACAACAGGTAACCCCTACTCCTATCCCAACCACTGGCACACCGCACGCATACCCCCACACACATTAAGTGGACCTAGTATGTCAACAACGGCATGAGACCAGTCAACACAATGGCAATTAAACCATCATGAACATTTGCAGGAGAGTTCAGGTGAGTTACAAAGAATACACTTACTTGATGGCTTTGGAGCTCCAGCTACTCGCACAACAGGAAGCCACGCCGAGGAGAGAAGTAAACACAGCACGCGTGCATACACAGACAGACAGACAGACAAACAGACAGACAGACACATACAAACATGCACACATACAGACTCGAGTGAGGTCAGCAACAGCAACACTTGTCTCAGGGTGGCAAGGTCGGTAGCCAAGCAAAACAACATCCATTGTGGCACCCAATCAACCTCTCAAGGGTCAGTTCTAGGCAACAGAAGTCACCTTAGGCGGCGCTTCGGCCTCTAACAGTAACACCAACCATCAACCAACAAGTGCACAGGTGTTACTAGGTCTTCCATTGGTTTCTCATGATTTAGGTGAACTGCTGATTACGACAGTTCGTTACTGATGATATGCACAATTATTTCACCCATACAAGACGCTCTTTTGCTAATACCAAGTGCACAGATATATACAGTAAAACCTGGTTTAAGCGACCCCCCCCCCACGGTGCAAGCAAAAGCGGTCGTTAAAACCAGGTGGTCTTTAGAACCAGGTCCCACAGTGTATGTGTAGAACTGTCGGTGCATGGAAAAACAGCCGTTAAGAGCAGGTGGTCGCTAAACACAGCGGTCGCTTACACCAGGTTTTACTGTAGTGTAGAGGAAACGCGTCACGTAATACGTGTCATTGAACATCTCCTCCGCCTTTTAGCAGAGCCAATGCTTGACAAAAAGAGCACCCTCCATAGCTGCAAACTTCCTTTCCTTATGTGATAGAGAGCTGGTAGCAGGGTGCATACATAGTTGCCTACATAGTACGGTATTACTAGACTAGAAGTTGGAAGTTATCCCCTACAAGCACTCAACGCACTTTGGTTTCGGATCAGGGAGTGTTGACTGCTGAGCGCACCTTGTCGCAATGTAGTTCGGTTATCGAAATGAGCGTGTGGATAGTAAGGGTTTAAGGCCGCTGAGAAATAACCAGATACTATGGAAATTTATAGAACAGAAAAGGACCAAGGAACTGCAAGTTACGCTATAATATCCACTAACACCACCAGTTACTTGACAATCCTTTTCTTTTCTATAAATTTATCCTTGGCTCTCCATCCGAGTCTATACTATGGAAATCTTGTTGCTTCACTCGGCTAAAATAGGCTGTGTTTCCATGAGAGATTTTAACCCGTCATGAACACAGGCTGACAGCACGTTTACATGATGCATTGCACTTGAGACCCGGGATGAGATTTCAACCCAGGTCGATTTCAACCCAGGTCGATTTCAACCCTCTCCCGGGCCTAGTGGGCGGGTTGAAATCGAGAAATGTATTGCTTTGTGGGTATTTCGCACCAAGTCTGCACGGCACTGCACAGGCGAATTTCCTGCCAAAGTAGTCATGTGACCATACAGGACTCTAGAAGTGGACTTTTGTCGGCATATCAGTAATCATCGACGGGGGGGGGGGGGGGGGTCAACCCTCTTCATGTAAAAACCCATTTATATTTTTCCATCGTACAGACTTTCAACTGACCAGGGTTGAGAATTCTCCTGTAACTAGACAGCCTCGGCTTATCCTTTTTAATTCCCAACAATCATGAGCCACTTTCACAAAATTAGGATATCCCCAACAATAACAATGCCAATCCCAGTAGCACAGTGCAGTATTGCATGTCACAGTGTCAAGCACGACCCGAATACTACTAGACAGGTGTATCAGTGGCAGAGGAACAGAGAGTTCAACCAGCACTTGATGCATCATAAATGTACATTCTATATTATACATTATAGGGACACTATTTTAATCTTGGGAACTTGTGACACGCTGACACCCGGCACATGATGAAACTCTTTCCCCGCCACCCACAATGCTACCTAGTACTAATAACTTGCACAAGCCACCAGGTCAAGATACTATCTAGATACTAGTAGTAGTACTACTAGGGCATCACCATGTGATCACATGACTGGAGAGTGACCACGTGGTCAGGCAACACTGGTAACCACTCAATGAGACGTGTGAAGAGTGCAATTAGTACAATTACCGCAACACAGCCAGCGACAGGGTGTGCCTGAGCAGTAAGCACTTAGGGCAGCCTGCAAACAATAGGTAAAATGTCCTCAACACTAAGTGGCCATTGCCATTGGTATACACACACACACACACTGTATACATGTCCCCATTCACACCGGGAGATCATTATGGTACATTGTAGTGTAGTGTAGTGTAGTGCAGTGCATGCAGTGATGGTACATGATAGGCACAATGTCATTGATCAAGAAGGGAGCAGTATTTATATTTAATATTTACATTCCATACTCCCGCTGCATGCAGCTCTGGATACACTGTTACCTCACTGCGCTGCTACAGTACCAGGCTGGTAGTGGCAGTGGTGGTGCTCCAGGCATACTTGCGCGTGCGCGCGCGTGTGTGTGTGTGTGTGTGTGTGTGTGTGTGTGTGTGTATGTGTGTGTACATGTGTGTCAGGAGATCTACTAACTAAAAAGGTTAAAAGTATAGCAGTAATCCATTACAATAATCACATGACCGTCATCCTTTATGGGAAACATGCTCAATTACAAATATTCGAGAGTACAGACGCTAATAGGCAAATGACTGATGGGATCGCTCCGCTGGCTGCAACATTCTGTAGCTACTCAGGCGGTACGATATTATCCAGACTAACACGAGAAGGGCTGCAGCTGTAACACCATAAGCCAGAGGAAATTCCGCAAAGTGTTCTAGCCTTCTAGGTGACCTGAACCCGGAAGACACTTCAGCACTGAGTTGTTCCCAACGTCACCCTACACCTATACCCCCAAAACAAAGGAGGCAATTAACTTGTTAACGCCATCATGTGCCGATTCATGACATGGCAATTTTTTGATTTTCTGAGACAAAAATGTCATGAACACTTGAATGTCCACCACAGGCAATTCTGTTTGGCCCCTTGTATTGTGTCAGTTCTTGTCACACATACAGAAGAATGTGAGCATCACTCCGGATACTCCTTGACTAGGTCACGTAGGCAGCCACAGTTTGAAAATAGTCAAAATACCCAACTGGTACAATAGCCATGGGAGAGCGAAAAATAGGCAAGTAAACTAATCCGGTCACTAAGTGACTACACAGACTCCTTCCCATCCTTTACACATGGGCAATGGAGATCAGTAGAGAGATGCCCCTAGCCTAGTCTAGGTACTAGGTGCCCAAGAGGCCTAGCTGTCCAGCAGATCAGTGCACTATCCCAGCACTCTACAGGTCCCTAGCTTAGGGAACCTTGGAATCATTGGACTCCTATCCACACCCTGGATACCATTTGGCTCACACCAGCTGCTGACACAGCACTTACAAACCTTATCAAGTATTACACTTCAGCACAGCATACCGGGGACACCATTAGCAAAGAATGTTGTACAAGTGATGGAGAGTCTGATGGATAAGACATGTCTTAGAATCCAGATGTGCATTCCGATACACACCTACCCTGTCTGCAGCATACCGGAGATACATGAAATTTACAATCCAAATGAAGAACTATTTTTAAGAACAATGTCATGTAGTATACGAGTAGTATGTAAAATGGCGGTCAACACACGTGGAACTCAGTTCACATGCTCCGTACCACCATTGTGGGTAGTTGAGAAACAGAGTCGACTATTGCCCGGAGTACCCACAGACAGTACAAGGTCAGACAAAGCCAGTTGTCCGGCAGGGGTTGAGTTTAGTCATAGGCCTGGGCTCAAATTGAACATCCGCAAGCTATGCGAATGCCGGTGCTCCCCACTGCAAGCTACCAACACCGGCTCCAGTACCCGAATCAGATTATTTGCTACTTCACAGTTCACGCCTTGAACAAACGATCTGGGCTAAAGGTCTCCCTCCCTCCAGAAAAGTATGCTGGCTGAGGAGGCTCAAAGAAACCCAAAATGCCCAACAGACCTTGACAGACAGGAGACAGATGGCAAAGGAGGGTGGCTTAGCACACAAGTACATATTATGCAAACCCAAAAGCGGACTAGAGCCGAGTAGAGGCTTAGTGGCGGTACAGTAGTGATGGCAAGCGGCCATGGAGTCAAGCTGTTCACTATTCATAGAATCCGCTCTGTCACACTGCCCACGCACTGCTTTCTCCCCTCCAAAACTGACAGTCCTCTGTGCTGGCCGCACGCACAGTGTGTGCTGGCATCATGTTTGTTTTCTGAATGGCAGTCTTCCAAGTGCATGCAGGGTTTGCGCAGAGTGGCACAAGCCCATTACATTTACAGATACTGGTGGCGCTGCCATTCAGTCAGCGTCTGGCGTACTATGGGACATGAGGCTACCAGCAGTGCTGCCCACGCATTTCCTGGGTCAGTACATGCTCCACTCAAGTAGAAAGACATGAACATACTCCTCCAATCAGTGGCAATCTCAATCTGCACATACCGTATTTCCGCAGGACATCCTCTACCACTCAGCACTGTACCATACGGCCCATAGTCTGACAATGCCACTACCAGTCATTGCCTGCCTGTGACAAGGATCCACGCGGCAGGAATCACCTTGGAAAGCCCCAACACACTCCCTCAGCTATGCAGCCAGGCTCCACCAAGAGCCCCCCATTGAGAAGCATTTTACCCATTGCTGGTCTACGGTGCATGCAGAACAGGCTAGAACAGGCCACGGGCAGAACCTTCACTCATACTCATCCATGTAGTCATGATCCACTGAGGAAGATGCCCTACCGGCAAACTGTGATCCACTACCTGTACTAGCAAGACATCCGAAACTATTTTTTTTAAATACAGCATGCATATAATTATGGGGTATGATCCCAGTGGTGAAATACATGCACACAATTCAGTCTTTTCTTTCTAATTCACCTCCACAAAGAGCTGAACAAAAGGGAGCAGGGGTCTATTTGTATTACATGCACAATTTCTTTCGAGGGCAATACTTCTTTGCCGCATACTTCACTTGAAGTGTTCAACAATACTTGGGGCCATACCCCGATACCCCGATAGCTAGTATCTTGCATCAGACAGTTTGGCGGAGGAACATGGCTACCAATGCTAGCACGAATCGACTAGCTTATGCTCAGTCTGCAATAGCAACCCACACGCGTCTCAAGCTGCGGAGAGTACTGTGTTGTCCTTTGTGGACTTCTGGCGCATTTCCTTAAACCACGTTTTGCTAGCCAAAATTAACTGTACACTTGCAAATATCGTGCTACACTCCACTCCACATATTATATTACAATTCACGAACAGCAACCGTGCAACCAGGCCGTTGAACCACAGAATGCCACCCTACTACGGCAGATGGCGTCCACGACAAGAGTTTGCCACCAAAACACAAACCACCTTTAAACTCGAAAACAAGCCAGTGGCGTTTTAAAAGTGTTATGCCCGTTGACAGGGATCAGAGTGAGTGCACATGCCAATTGCCAAATGCCCCATCTATGCCGTGCACAGCTGACTTCCTTGCTTCCATAACAACACTCACACAATGGGGTGGGTGGGGGGGGGGGGGGGGGGGGGAGAGCTGGCCCCTTTTTTAGTTTCGTCCTCATATCTAGTGTTATGCACTGTCTATGTCTAGTCATGGACTCAACACATTCTTGCAGCTAGCACACTGGACTTTGACAGGCTGCTGCAGAGCGGCCATCAGAACGTAGTCAGGTTCATAGCACAGTACGCAGTGCGGGCTCTCTAGCACTTATGGGCACCGATAAAACAATCATTATTCAAGTAAATGGGATTATATGAGTGTTGCACTGACTCCCCCCCCCCCCCCCCCCCCCAACATCGAACCAAACAGAACATAGTATAATGGCCCAGTACGGTGCAAACACAGCTACACAACGGGCCAAGCCTCACCTAGCCATGATCATCTACCAACAAGCAAACTGCTTGAACAATTTGCTTCTTGCATGTCTTTGTAAACAAGTGTAGTTATTGAGACCTGTAAGTGTATCGGTGTCTACACTTGGATGTGAGCCGGGATACGATGCAACAGGCGCAATCCTTGCAAACATCTACAATGAACTGTACATGCCCATGGCCATTATGCTCTTAAAGCCATTCTGATGAGCACGACTATTGTACAAGAGCGAATACACCCCCCCCCCCCACACCCCCAACGTAAATTCGGACACGTACAAGGGGGAGATACGTCATCATCGTTGCCGTATAATTGTACACATGCTACCTAGCCAGATCTAGGTGGGTGTGCCGCGTGTCATGTCACACAACTGCAGACAGTAAGAACGTTACGGGCTGCACGACTGTGGCGTACTAGTCAGTGGCGTAGTGTGGTGCATGCACTACCAGAGTACTGTGTGCTACACTGCACTGTATTGCAATTCACTGCAGCAGCTCAGAAATTATACATGTTAGTCTCAGTCTGCAGACAGAACTCTTTCGTCCTTTGTGGACTTATCAGCGTAGCACAGAGAAAATGAGGCCGAACCTGATAGCAATGAAAAATAAATTTCCAAAGCCAGATTAAACCAGGACCGAATGTGCCTGGCCAGAGTGCTCAAACTGACAAGTCAGTGAGCTCTGCATAACGCAAACAGCAAAGGCACTACCCCACACGAGAGATGTTGGACTCAGTATAGTTTGTACTACAGTCGGCGGTGGGCGGGTGGGTGGCGATAACTCTGATACCACTACACGTACCAGAAAGAAATGTTGTGGCCTCCACCATGGTGCTACACTGCGAATGGGATGATATTGAGTCTTCTGTGCAGGAGCTAAATGTGTGATGTACAGTGAACTCTGTGCTCGCACTAGTGGGGTGCATGGTGCATGATTGGCCAAATGGTTCGACTGCAGACCTTCCCAACGTCAGGTTTGGGGTTCAATTCCCAGTTTGTATGAAGACACATTAGGGACCGAGTGCCAGGTTTCTATTGGGGAGACAAATGCAACGATAGAGAGAAGATGAGCGCTGCCTTCACTACGTTTAGCCCATTGAAGCAAGAGGTCCGTAACACGTCCTGTGCCAGCGGTCAGATTCCACTATGCGTTTCCATTTTTCAGCTACCGTTCTCGGAGCTATGAACTCTTGTCCGTACGAGACTGGCGGCATGTCTGGACAGCATTGCAAGAGGGACCCATTGTTGCCCGCACCTAGCATGCATCTATAGCACTACAGCTATAGCCAGATCATCGCATAGTAAGCCATGTGATGGTCTGCCGGCATCTCCGCAGAGGTTGGGCATTGAAATACCAAAATGGAACATTGAGGTCTGGTGTCGGGCGTTGCCGGGCAAAACGCACAAGCCGTAGCTAGGCAGTGGAAGCTTGATCAGGGACAGATTTTCGGGGGGGGGGGGGTGTTCTTTATCGTAGCAAGGAGAGATCGTCCGTAGCTACGGATCTTCATCATGACACGACATGATTTCGCAGGGAGGGGATTAAACGCCGCTCTTTTCGTTTTGTGAAAAGCTGTGACTACGGACGGCTCTAAAAACATTGAGACGGAAAAAACAAACTTCGACATTTACGGACGGACCCCTTGCCGCATGTCTAGGAAGGGGGAGAGTAAGCTCTCAACCACACATCAACCTTGACACAAATCACACTAACAACAATGTTGAACCACCAGCACTACCACTAGTCTACATGATAGTACTCACTAAGCATCTTGGCCAGGACCATATCGATTTCCTTGACGTTCAAGTAGAGGTGATGAGGTTGCACACATCCATCTCGATTGCAAACCTTCCCCAGTCTCTCGCCGTCAGTGGACTCGAGCGGTACGCCTTGGAAGAGCACCATGGTCACTAGATCCAGCCGCCAAACTTTATTCGATTGCCTAAAGCAGTCAATGCGACGCATCTTGCCCTTCACATCACCGTTCGTCATCACGCACTCCGGCGCTGCACCGTCCAGAGTGTTTGTTATACTGCGAACGAAGTGATCGCGGCATTCCGGGTTGATATCCTTGCGCAGCTTGGTGAGCAGGCGCGTTGCCCAGGCTTTCTTTCTTATGACCAGCTCTTCTTCGATCTGCATTCGCATCTTACGCTCCATTAGCACGGAGTCGCATGCAATCGGATCTCGGAAGCGTCCAGTTGTTGGTGGACTGCCGTCCTGACTCTGGTGAACAGACGAACTGCCACTTGCTGCACTGCCCACGTAGCCGAGCCTTTCCTGCTGGCGCTCCGTAGCAGCATTTCGCTTCATCTCGCGTTTTTCATGCTGGAGTCTCACCCAAGCATAGCTGCACACCTTCACGTGAGGGAGCAGAGCTTCGATGAAATGTCGTTCCGACTCTCCTCCATCCATTGCTGGGGTCTGGGGTTGCTGAAAGTACAAAACATAAGAAAAAGTGTAACACAAATGTTAGATATCTCGTTTGATGAATGCGGCGGACAGCAACAATACCAAACACATCGGCACGCAGTAAAGAAAGCAATTTGAGCCAAAGGATGAGAAATTAACCTTACCGGATATGCTCCATCGCTGGAAGCTGGAGTAAACAACTGTTGCGACCCACTGCTGTTCGCTAGGTCAGCATTGATCGATGGGAATGAAAAAGCAGCCGACATTGCGATGCCTTGCAGAAACTGCTTCCGCGTAGCGATAGCTCACTCTCTTTCAGCCCACTATGGTGTCCCAACTCTTCTCTACCCAGCACCACCAGTCATTTTCCGACCATTTGATGACCATCGACAGCAACACAACACACAAGTCGCAACGAAGTAGATCAACGGATCACGGAGTAAATGTTACATGTATGTTCAGAAGTAACTAACTTTACTCTTTAGTTAGTTTTCAAGGAAGACCGTCATAATGTTCTTGTGCGTTCCTTTCTGGCTTCACATAAATATCTACAGTCAGTACAGACTACATGTACCACTACTGCACTACATCATTGTATGAGACTAATGTCGTAATGAGTAATGTGTGATGCTTGCTGCATAGCGCATGCAGGATGCAGCATGGTAAGTAATGCATGATAAATGCAGACAGTACAGACCAGGCCAGGGAGTAGTAAAATACTCCCTGGTACAGACCATACTGCGCTGCATGAATTTTATGTGGCCGTCTACGAGTACTGACTGAGTGAGTGACTGACTCAGTGACTGTAGTAATCATTCTACTCATTGATGCGATATACTGAGTCCGTATGTCACTATGTCACACACAGACAGTATGTCACCATGGTCACTATGTGTCCACACACTGACACAAACAGACACATACTGTGACCTACACTACAGACTACAGTGTGTAGCTGCATACTGCATAGCATTATTACTATTATAGTAATAATTAGTGCAGTGACTGCACATGCTGGTATTCCGTAACCATGGTAACCAGCCGGGCAGCTACTCGACTCCCCATGGCATGGGGCCCAAGCAATGCCCAGATTACACTCTTATAATTTTAGTTATATTACACTCTGAGTCTCTGACTGGATTATGATGCAAATAATTCCCTTTACAACTGGACTCTGGAGGCTGTGTGGAGCGCTCGAGCGTACATGTACAAGTAGATCTACTACGCTACTAGTACTGAACTATTATTATTAATTTTTTTGGCTTTATTTGAAAACATACTGGGCGTCGGAATGAAGAATTCGAAAAGCGCAAGCAAAGAAGGCAATAGTGATAAATCCAGTCAAGTAAATAGGAAAAATCAAATCAAATAAATAGGAAAATCCAGAAAATAACATAAAAGAACCAAGTCAATACAAATAGGGAATACCATTTACCAAAACAAAGTCGGAGCAAACCCGCATCCGCAAACACCATCCAACTACACTACTACCAAGGGTTTAGGTACTATAGCAAGATTATACTCTTGCGTTTTCAGTGGTACTAGTATACAGTCATGTACATGTACATGTGTACTAGTGGTGGTACTGGTACACTGTCACTGTGTAGCTAGACAGATACTGAGAATGTGAGACAGCGCCTTAGACTAGAGGATTTGTGGGCATGCTTGAAAGTTAGTTACTTACATAGTAGTAGTAGTAGAATTTATTATTTTACTAGGGAATTACTGGGAACCCTAGGAATGACTTGTATTGTACATGTAGTTGAAATATCCTGCAATATTATTTATTTTGTAGGTGCGTGACTACTACTTCATGCACGACTTAAGGTGGCGATCTACCTTCGCGGATAGTCCACCGTAAAATACAAACATCTCAGCCAATTCTCTTTGGAATTAGGTCAAATTTTCTAGAGACATTCATTATGTACCAAAGGACAAGGAGCAGCACAAATAGAGGACAGACTCCGCTCATGTCCATTGTTATTGCCGAATCACGATAATTGGCCGCACCCGCACCTCTTAACCGCAAAATTGAAATATGCATCCATCAGGTAGAAAATAACCAATTGCTACAGCGTTCCTAACATATAATTCTAGGTATTGAATATCAAGAAACAGTTGCAAAGTCCTTTAGATCACCATGTCACAACAAAGCGTTTTGACGCGCGCATCCGCAAAAAAAGTCATGATCGGGTCCACAACCAATGTGAGAACAAGCAATGGTGAATGGCTAAACGAAGACATTCATGAACTAGCTGATGCATCACAGAGCTCAGAAATGTATAGGTTTAGGGGTATAGCACCTACCACTTTGCCGCAATCGTGGTAGAAAAATGCGGGATAGGCTAAAAAGTTACCAAAAACACACAAAAAAAGGTCTATCCAATTCCAGCCTACCTGCCTACAAATCTTCACATCAGAAGCCATCTGGCTCGTAGGTGACCTCATTTTGGTCTCCTTGATGATTAGTAATGCTCTTCTTCAGTCTTCTTTACTTCTTCCTTGACTTCTTTGTCACTTCCCACACGTTCCCAGCTCTTCCTGGTTGTATCACAATGGTGTTACTTAGTGCGGTGCCGAGCAGAAACGCGATGCTATCTGGTTTTAATGTTCAGCTAGAGTCTTCATTTCTTCTCTAAGGGCTTGTTCAATCATGAGCATTGCAGGCAAAATCGAGTCGGAAACCCAGCCTTCACTGGTGGCCTCTCTCCATGGGTATGGCAATAAAGGTGCTGATGAATGAGGCATATCCAGGGTGCAGCCATGCTGTTTCCGTCACACATGACGGTGATCGCATGCGGTTGCAGCACTGCCACTTTGGTAAACTGCCTCAGGTTCAGTGTAGCATTTCACATGTCTGCTTCTGAACTCATCTCGGAGAACATGACCACAGGTTGAATAGGATCGCGTTGCCGCCACAGGTCTTAGTATAAATGGTCGGTAGAATATTGAAAACTATGCAAAGCGTCACTGGCGGTGATGAATTCGGCGCATACTAAATACAGGCCTGTGGACTTCCAATTTGAAATTGAATTTCTCAGAAGTGAATGGACTTCTCTTCTCACCACATACAATGAAATCCCAAGGCAAATATCTGGGTTTGCCTGCTCGCTCAGTAGATCTACGATGGGATGTGGACTGGTACAGCTGACAGCATACTGATTTGACCAGAAATAGCAGAAATCACTCCGAATATTTCACAGACTAACTCCAGTAGGCTATATTTTGCACTCACTGCCTGACGCCGAAAGAGAGAGACAAACTAATCACCACAATAGCTAGAACTGTTGTTGACATCGTCATCGTCAGAGTAGTCAGAGTTGGAGATGAAGTTGAAATACGTCTTCGCTTGGCAATTTTTTTGCCAATAAATTTGAATAGCGTCGTCAACGTCAGGGATATTTTCCGCGGATAGATGGATATCGAGAGCTTCTGGCAGTCAGATTGGCTGCTTCGGACATCCAAGACGACGGACAGTACTCATTCCACCCGATCTTGGTGACAGGCGACGACGTGAGACGTCTCCAATAGACTTTCCAAACACAATTGTTTGAATACTTCACAAATTATCGAATTATTGATTTGCGCATGCGCACTGTGTCCATGATGACGTAATATGTGCGTATTGGTATGGCATGACTCAGCAGTGGTATTTCTGACAAGCACAGAAAATTTGAACAAAATCCACAAGGATTTACCGTGAAAAGACCGATTTCTACGTTTTCCCAAAAAAGTTGCAATTGTGCAAGTCAAAGATATGTTACATTCGGTCTTTGCAAGCTCATAGCAGCCATGTGGATAAAGCAATCTCACTCAAATTTTCACAGATGATGTCTGGGATCTATACGAGCAATTTGACACCGCATTGGACGAAATCAGAGCAAGTTGAAAATTTCACAAAATTTTGACCCCTGAAGGTAGATCGCCACCTTAATTTAATAATAGCCGGCTGGCATGGTACAATGACCTTTCACGGCTTCTTCTTTACTATAATCGAAAACTTCATCACACTGAGAGTTGGACTACTGTAAGATACATGTATGTTATTTTAACGAGTCACAAATTTAACGATTGTCCAAAATCCATAGGATAACGAGAACATACGATAACGCTCTTGCAGTCTTCAGGCCTATCCGCACACACATGTACGTCATGTATAACGTAATTTAATAATGAGTCTGTTGAGGCTGTAAGGCCACATATTACAGGGATCGATTTATCCGGGTTCGCATCGCAGTTTGCGAATCAAAATTCACTGGCTGCGATTCGCTTTTCGTTTGTTATCGCCCAAAACTGCGATGCACTACAAAGACCAGTTGTGTGCAGTCTACATGCGACTGTTGACTGTTGTACACACTGCTGCCTAGGGAGTAGTATTTTACTACTCCAACCAACTGGCCTGTCCTGCTCAGTCCGCGCGGGTCGCGGACTCGCGGATCGCGCTCTTTCGATTTTGGACACTGCACTAGCACTGGTCGTACATGACTGCAGTCTTCTGAAGTTTTGTACACGGCGGTGACTTTTCCTGATGTTCTCCTTTCTTCTTTCACTGTCAAGCTCAGTTTGTTTCTGTTTGACAAGGCACAGTTGAAGTCGATGGTTCTTAGTCTCATGTAGCCAACATGTCAGTGAGTCTGATCAGTGATTCACTGTCCAGAAGAGGGACAAAGAACTGGACGCGCCAGGAATGTCGATTCGTTTCGATGAAGAAAAGGAGAAAAGCGAAATTCGATGCGCTTTGCACGAAATGTCACGATCGTTTGAGCGCTTTCCTGAGGTTTCTTTGTCGAAGGAATCAGTGGAACTGCCCTGTTGAAAGACATTGTGTTGTGAAGAACTCGAAGACGGATGGACGCTGAACATGTAACGTGCCCAAGCGAAAACTCTAATGTAAATATTCAGGTCGAACATTCGCTTGGAAAAGCAAATAGCAACTGCAGCTATTGTCCTCTTCTTTACGAAATCCTGCTATTGTACAAGCTATACATGTAAACTTTTGATGAAGGAAAACTGCTAATCAATACTGGGAGTTGCTAGTCAATTGTAAAACTGTTTAGCAGTGACTGCTATGCAAAAAAATCAAAGTAAATCGATCCCTGTATTATGTGGCCTTACACTTACAGTCTCAACAGAACTTATTATAACGAAGAAATGTCACCTGTTAAACCGTTAGATTTGCTTCCTCGTTATATTTACATGTCTTACAGTAGTACAAAGGAAATGTTATATGGCCATGAAGCCGCGATAGCATTGCCATCTACATGTACATGTACATGTACATGTAGAACTACCATGAGAAACCCTGAAATCCTAAAAAAAAAGGCTGAGCACTATCGAAAGCAGGAGAAGGACAAAATGTTACGAGTTCAACTATTGGAAACGTGATTAGTAAGGCGAGCGGTATTATTATCAGAGCATGTGTGGAGTGGAGAGGTGCAGGTGAGAATGCTACTTGTACATGTACATGTACATGTATGGGTGTGAGTAACTGTTATGTGGGTATACTGCTAAGTGAAGAGTGTGAGTGCTGTTACGAATTCTTTCTGTTTGCATAAATCTGGTTCGCGAGTAAGAATAAACATTGCTTCTAATACGGAAAGCAAACTAAACTGTGACTACTGGCATAGCACACTACACTGTGACTACTGGCATAGCACACTACACTGAAGCACGAATCATCATACAACTCATTACTGCAAACATTGGGGGTTGGATACTAAATGCTTTAAAAAACGGCCGATTTACGGGTACTCACAAACACTGAATGATCAACATCCACACATGCTCTAATACCGCTCGCCTTACTAATCACGCTTTCAATAGTGCTATTTTTAGGATTTTTGTTTTGTTGTGAAGTTGGGTTTCTCAGTGACCTACCGTGTGATTGTAGCTCAAGTTGGGGCGGCGGAAGGTGTTGCAAGTTGGTCCGGCAGGTGCCCCCCCCCCCCCCCCCCCCACACACACACACATAATTTGGGCCACCGCTTTCCCTATGATGTGTACATGGTTGTATTACATAGCGTGTTTAAAATTTCCCATGGCAGACATGCACATCAGCTAAGTTCCCATCCCTGTCGTTGCCACTTCCACGGCTCGGATTGGCAAACCCTGGCGCGAAAGAGGCTTCGGGCTGGATAAGATTTCCAACAAGCACTGTCGATTGTCAGCTTTCCGACGGGCAAGTAAACTACTTCGGAATTCATCATCTCAGCTTCATTGTACATTCGGGGCTAAAGCGGTTTGCACAGCATCGAAGTGGACAGCAGACGGTATACTTCGGGTTTTCCGAATGATACTAGTGGCATCTTTGAACCGTGGGTGACAGTGACACTGAAAAGCTGGATCCCCACGCTTGTAAAGGACCTGATTGCTCCCAGCGGCCGCCGTGCAAGTGGAACCAAACCTCTTGTCCTCGGACTCCTCGTACGAAAGCAATACCATGACGTGTTTCCCCACACATCAGAAGCCTGAAGGACCGAGTATATGAGACAAGCAAATGGCTGTGCATGTACCGCCGGAAAAACCTCACAACAAAGTTAGTTGTGGTCGCAAAAGCTGGTCCGGATGGCCGGACCGGCCGGAAGGGCTCCGCCGTCCATCATATTACATGTCGTAGTCACATGATCCTCAGTTGAGAAGGGAGCGACAACGTTTGATATCTCATCGGAAGTGTTCTGACTGGATATGTGTGACCTTGCTTGGATGACATGCGTTCTTTATTTAGGCATTTCTAAGTGTTTTTCTTCATACATGCCATGTACAATAGCACTGATTTCGTGTGTGATTTGCACTCCATACGAAGCATACATGTACATGTACAGTGACAATGCCCCATCCACATAACCTCCATATTGGACCATAAGACCTGCACACTGTGAAGTACTGACTGTACCGCCCTAGGCCGTGTACCGTGTAGGCCGGCCCTCTGTCTCCAGACTCCACTGCTCCATCCAGTCCACTTGAGAGTCTTGAAATAATTACTGTATTCAGAAAACCACTTACTTCGACTTCAAGTTCAAGTCACTACTGACAGTATACTAGTACTGTACTGAGTACATGACATACATGATTGTCAATTTACGTTTAGGAAAAAATTTAAAAAACATGCTACAGTACAAGTACATGACAGGACGCGTAGTCGTCAACGGTTACGAGCATGACGCATGATCATGCAGCCTTTGCATTGCAATAATTTTTGATCTTGTCTTGATGACAGTAGAAATCGTGTATCTATGGCAACTGGTGCCAGGTTCGTGTTGTAGACATGGGAACTACGTTGTCAAGCGGGTAATTTGAAGTTCAAGTGCACAGTCTTTTCGCGAAGCAGTAGCTTGGCTGTTGTTGCAGCCAAGGTGTGTGAGCTGTTTGAAGCTGAAGAACAATAAGTCTTGGTGCATCGTCTCTTGCCCAAGCCCAAGGGCTCCTCATTTTAGTCTGGAATAGCGACGAAGCTTCCGAAATAGTGGGTACATATGCAGCTGAAATGGCTAACCCTTCGTCCGATATCAGTCCTACAAGCCAAGAAACGGAGTACACAGCGGCAGATCATTCAGACATTTGCAAACGCCTGACCTTTGGAAACTTCGCACCCCCTGCCGAAGCTGCACCTGCACCACGACCCAACACGAGCACTGCCAGTGTTGCATCATCATCAGCAGCATCGTCATCCCACTCCAGCAGCGTTGTGAAAGACGTTTGTCAAGGCGAAGCGTTGCACTGCTTTCTGCGAATTCGTCCTTTCACCGACGCAGAACAGAAGGAAAGTGCATCAGCAGCAAAGATCGATCTCTTCGATGATGGACACCAGATTGAGATTCACGCGCCGGAGGAATCGGCAACGTTCAAGAATGGCTCACGAAACCCGGCCGAGAATAGCTGGCGGTTCAAATTTAGCAGTGTGCTGAGCCCATCAGCTGGGCAGCAAGATGTGTTTGAGACTACTCTGCTGGAGAATGTACAGGATTTTGTCACTGGTCAGAATACATTGGTGTTTACATACGGAGCGACCAACGGAGGAAAAACATACACTATGTTGGGGAAGCCGTCGGATGCTGGTCTTATACCGAGAACGCTTGACACAATATTCAACAGCATCAAGGATCGGCTAGGAAAGCCGTACGAGATGAAGCCGAAGTGTCTGTCATTGGTGCGGCTGGATGAGTCGAGTCGAGCACAGGAGATCAAGGGCAAACTGGATGTGCTGTCCTCCTGGGACAAACGTGAAGAGGTAACCTTGTCATGGAGTAGAGGCCTGTTCTTAAGTGGAGTTTGTAGTCTACCCCCTCCCAACCCCTGGAGTGAGGAGTCTTGCCCCCACGGAATTTAGAGTCTGCCCCCTCCCCCTCCCTCGGTATCTGCCATATGTACTTTATCATCTAGTTGCTGTCACCGAAACCGAAGAAGGTCTGAGTGTTGCCGCACAAGGAATGTGATATTCTGGCATCATCTGTGCGTGGGTCCTTTTGCCGGAAACACAGCACACGTATACGTGTATGATGTGACGGAAACACTACGCTTGCAGGACCGTACATGTATATCACTATACACTTCTGCGGTGTGGTATAGCTATGAAGTTTAGAGTAGTGTTTACGTAGATGACAACAAGCTTATACTAAGCCACCGACTACTGCGCTTTGGCTGTAGCTTGGCGTCTTGCTGCTCCAGTCAGTGATTATCTATCAGGGCCTGTCAGCTTCTTGGCAAGGCCACGCAGACTGCAGACTCGGTGTATCTTATTGTTTTGTGTTTGGCGATGAGCATAGCCTAGCACGCCCACAGTCTAGAGATGTACATGTATACTGATCTGCTTGGCTTTCCACTGGCGGCTAACAGGGCACATCTCTTGTTTCAGTGTGATCACCTGTGCTGCTGCTTGTAGTGCCTAGTACATTGACTGTTGTCGTCTCTCTCTGTCTTGTGTGTGTGTGTGTACTGGTAGACATTTAGCAGTGCTGATATCAGTGGAAGCATTGTGGACGAATCCCTCATCCCGAGTGTTAACAGCACGTTTAGCGACACGTCTAGCCTGCCGCTGCCGGGGAATACTTCATCTGATGGTAAGACCATTGGGTTTCTGACAGGGGTGTCGGAACCGGTGCGGCAGGTGCAGCTTTGCACTAATTCTATCCTGTACTTTCTGAGCAATGAAATGGGCTATTTAGGCCCAAGTCTCCGAACCTTTCCCAGGGGGGGGGGGGGGGGGGCGCCCCCGGGACCCCCGCCTTTTCATGGCCACACCAATGTAGAACCTTCCGACGTCCCTGTCTGAGCCGTTGCTATTGGGGTATGCAGTTTTTTTTATGTAGCATGTGCTGAACCAACCTTTTACTGGTGCGTAATTCAGCCAGGTCTTACTCACGTCTTTGTCTTTTTCGACAAACCCTTTCTTTTCTCCTTTCCACAGAACTCAGCCTGAGCTTTGTACCGGAAGTGGAGACAAACCGCCAGCGCGACAGTCACACGCGTGTAAGCATTGAGCCCCAGGGAAAGGTACGCTTTTCTGTCTTTGTCAGCTATGCAGAAATCTACAATGAGCTGATTTATGACCTACTGGACAAGCCGCCTCTGACCAAGCATGCTCGTCGCAATGCTCTGAAGCTGGCGGAGGACAAGAGCAAGAGACATCACATCAAAGGTGCTGTGTGTGTGTGTGTGTGTGTGTGTGTGTGTGTGTGTGTGTGTGTGTGTGTGTGTGTGTGTGTGTGTGTGTGTGTGTGTGTGTGTGTGTGTGATGTATGTATGTGTGTCTTTGTGTCTTTGTCTCTGTCTCTCTGTATGTCTGTCTGTCTCTATATATCTATCTATATAATCTGTCTGTCTCTCTATCTTTCTCTGTCTCCACTGACACGAGAACTAACTTGTGAATTCATTGCAAACTCATTGCAGACACAATGCTAGTTCTCAAAATGCAGAGCTCTTTGCATCCAGTGGATGTTGAAGTGAGGCATTTATTGTGTGCATGTTCTGAATGTTTTCATGATTTTGGACTTGTGGCAATCCTAGAGGGTGAAGATACAACGAATGGTTTGTTGCTCTGTGCACTGGGTGTACTGCCTACCTTCCTTAGTCTGAACTCTTACGCATCATCACTGAATTCACTTCATTCTGCATCCTATCTAGCTTCTTATTTGTCTAGCCCCCTCAGCAGTTGATGAGTAACTCTTGCTATATGGTACTGCGTCCTATCTGCAGGGCTCAAAGAGATTGAAGTGCGCAACGCTGACGAAGCGTTCAAGGTTTGTGCATACATGTAGATGGTGGTGTTTCACTTCTAGTAGTTTCCTACATTTGTGGTCTTGCTTGGAGAGATTTAGAGTGGTTTTGCATGGTCTTCTTTTCACCTCAGTGTGTACTAGTACACCGAAATCTCATTTAGAGTGGTTTTGCATGGTCTTCTTTTCACCTCAGTGTGTACTAGTACACCTAAATCTCATTTAGAGTGGTTTTGCATGGTCTTCTTTTCACCTCAGTGTGTACTAGTACACCTAAATCTCATTTAGAGTGGTTTTGCATGGTCTTCTTTTCACCTCAGTGTGTACTAGTACACCTAAATCTCATTTAGAGTGGTTTTGCATGGTCTTCTTTTCACCTCAGTGTGTACTAGTATACCTAAATCTCATTTAGAGTGGTTTTGCATGGTCTTCTTTTCACCTCAGTGTGTACTAGTACACCTAAATCTCATTTAGAGTGGTTTTGCATGGTCTTCTTTTCACCTCAGTGTGTACTAGTACACCTAAATCTCATTTAGAGTGGTTTTGCATGGTCTTCTTTTCACCTCAGTGTGTACTAGTATACCTAAATCTCATTTAGAGTGGTTTTGCATGGTCTTCTTTTCACCTCAGTGTGTACTAGTACACCTAAATCTCATTTAGAGTGGTTTTGCATGGTCTTCTTTTCACCTCAGTGTGTACTAGTACACCTAAATCTCATTTAGAGTGGTTTTGCATGGTCTTCTTTTCACCTCAGTGTGTACTAGTACACCTAAATCTCATTTAGAGTGGTTTTGCATGGTCTTCTTTTCACCTCAGTGTGTACTAGTACACCTAAATCTCACGTGCCCGCTCGGCAGGTTTCCGGGGCACAATCAGATGCAGACGTGATGTAGAATGACCCACCGACTTCGGACATGGTTATTGGCCGCATGGTTTCAGAGCTCCAAACCCTGACTACACATGTAGCTATACATGTACTTTGGCATGTATTGCATTCAGCAGTGCATGTAACATGCATTGGCTCGCCATCGTGTTATTGACGTATACAGTAGAGTTTACAGTACAGTACGCTGAAGTTTACCGGGTTTACCGGGTGTTAGTGGCCGTCGTGAGTTCCCTTCGGGTGACCCCCCTCCCGTCTTACTCCTCATCTCCATTGTCTGTCATGTGCATACATTCATGCGTGTACATGTACATGTATGTGTGTGTGTGTGTGTTTTGTGTGCGCGCGCGCGCGCGTGTGCACGTGCATGTGTGTGTATGCGTGTGTGTATGTGTACATGTGTGTGTGTGTGTGTGTGTGTGTGTGTGTGTGTGTGTGTGTGTGTGTGTGTGCGTGTCATTGCTTTCTATTTTAGTTGCTGCAAATTGGTCAGATCAATCGTCAGGTGGCAAGCACTCGTCTGAATCAGCGATCGAGCAGAAGGTTAGGAAATTGAGGAAGCCGATAGAGTGACTCTTAATCCTTTAATTACACAGGCAATTGAATTTGGTTATTTTCGCTCTGTCTGTCGAAGTCCAGTTCAGCCCGATAAACATGCTGCCCGAAATACGTACTGGTACGGTTCGCACATGCAGCGCTTAGCATGAAAAAAGACTTCTCCACTACACACAAGTCAGGTCCGAAAGTTAGTTCGTGCTCGAAAGTTAGTACGGGTGTGGCCACTAAATTCGAAAGTGTGTACATACCTATTTACGTACTTGTACGGTAGTTGTTTCACCTCCCCATGGCCGGAGAATAAAGGCCAGTGTGTGTGTGTGTGTGGGGGGGGGGGGGGGGGGGGGGCTATTGAACCATAGTTTACATACACATTTCGTATGAATTACTACTAACTACTGACGGTGTCACTTCTATTTCTTCTGCTACTGTTGTAGCCATGCCATCTTCACCATCAAGGTCCTACGTGTTGTGGATATCAATGGACCAACCTATGCCCGCGTCAGCAGGTACAGTTAGACCGTCTGTGTCAGTGATTGCTATCAGCACCCTGCACACACTCTGGTGTATGCCCCCGCATTGTCCCTCACACTTGTATTGCCTAGAATGCCGTATTTTCCCGATTGTAAGTGCTGTGTCTCTAACCAAGAGACGGTGGGTTCACACGTAGAGTTTACATCCCAAGTTTATTCTACGATTGCAAAGCAAGAAAAAGCGTTGAGGTATGATTGCGCTAGAGGATATAGAAGTTGTATCCCAGGTGCGGGGTGCATCAGGTGTTGGATGGCAGTACGATGAATTGCTATAGAGTTTTTACGACTAAGACCGGGTTGTGGTTTTGAGGTGGATCAATAGTACTTGCAATTAAATGAATACATGCCTGGTACATACACCACATTCCTCCCCCTAAATGTTATGGTACGTGTTGAGCTATGAGGTATTCCTATACGGCATGGCATTTAATGCACAAGAAAGGAGAAGCGGATGAGATGAGAGCACAGGACAGCAATTGTGTCAGTAAGAAGCAATTCAGTCTCTCAGGCGGGCAGGCAGAACTCGCGGTCTCGGCGGGTTACGGCGGGGTGCAGTCGTAGCTTGTGCCAGCGGCGGCTGGATCTGCTGCGTTGCAGTAGTCACTGGTACAGGTACTTGCGCAGGCGGAGGTGTTGCAGTAGTCGCTGGTACAGGTACTTGCGCAGGCGGAGGTGTTGATGTAGCTACGGATACTGGTACTTGCGCAGGCGGAGGTGTTGATGTAGCTACGGATACTGGTACTTGCGCAGGCGGAGGTGTTGATGTAGCTACGGGTACTTGTACTTGCGCAGGCGCAGGCGGAGATGTTGGAGTAGCAGCGCCTGGATCACTGGGTGGTGGCGGAACACTAGCCGGCGAATGAGCAGTCGGAAAGCACAAACTGTGATCTGGCTCTGCCGGTGCTGCGACAGAAGGCAAAGGCGCTGTGTACACCTGTACAGATGATGGCGGGGCAGAGTCGGCTGACCGGAGCTGTTCAACATGGTGCCTCCATTGCTGGTCTGGGCCCACTTCCACTGTATAGTGGCGGCACCGTGTACCGCTTGCACAGTGCCCTGGATCTATGGGTGTGGTGTGTTGGTGCGGTAGTCACGTACCATGACTGCGTCAGCAAACGTGCGCTCACGGTTTGCTGATCTCGCACTACGCTGAGCCGCCTGTTTCTTGCCAACATATACCTTAACACTGAGTTGGACCAAAGCCAACCGAGTGCGTAACTCACGGTGCATTAGCAAGGATGCCAGTGTGGCATTTGTTGTAGCATGGGGTGTGGTGCGATAGGCCAACAGGAAGTGAGGCAAGAACTCAAGCGCTGCTGTGTCAGAATAGGACCTGAGTGCCTGTTTCATCGTACACACGAATCGTTCAGCCAACCCGTTAGTCGCTGGGCGGTACGGTGCTGAGAACGCGTGCGTAATGCCGTTGGCTTCAGTGAAACGGTGGAACTCATCGGCAGTAAACTGCGGGCCGTTGTCACTCACGACCTGGTCCGGCAGGCCATGTTGAACGAACACTTCTCGGAGACGGCGTTTGGTAGCCAGGGCAGTGGTGCTGCTCATTGGTAGCACTTCCGGCCACTTGCTGTGAGCGTCCACCACACTCAGCCACATGTGCCCTCGGAACGGCCCGGCAAAATCTAAGTGGAGGCGCTACCATGGCTTTGATGGCCACTCCCAGGGATGGAATGCTGACTTTCGGTGGTGTCACCAGTCCGTCTTCTAACGCTGCCATTCTCGATGACAAAGCAGCCATGGTGGACGACAAAGCAGCTATGGATTTATCCATTCTCGACGACAAAGCAGCTATTGAACTATCCATTTTGGACGGCAAAGCAGTCTAGGCCATCGATTTCCAGCAATTTTCGCCGAAGGGCGTCGGACTTGCAGCCGATGGTCAGCTGGTCCAAGACAGCCAATTTCTCCACCGCAGTATCTGGGAAGCCACTGCGTTTCACGTGGTCGCCCAAACGACAACAGAAACCCTCCATAGTCTCGTTCGGCTGTTGACGAAGCTGACGGAAATCGTACCTGAGGAGCGTTTTGTTTCCTGCAACACTTTGGCGAGGTCGTCGAATGTTGTCCCTGTGTTGCTGAGAGTGGGCACGAGTTGCTGGATGTCGTCTTCTCCCAGGTACTGGAGTGGAGTAGCCCACGCTGTTGGTCGCCATCGGCAATTTTGGACGCAGCGAGGTAGAGCTTGAAACTCTGTGTCCAGGTGGGCCAGCGCGTGGCTGCATCGTAGAGGGAGACATAAATGGGAAAAGGTCGGAAACGGCACATGCTACATGCTTAAGTTAACATAACATGATGTACTACCATCATGAATGTCTGGAGTGGCCAAGGAATGCCACAGCGCGTATGTAGATGTGAACACTACAATTTGCAATTAGATGAAAACATATCTGGTACATAGACCACAGTAAGTCACACACCCATTTCCAGGTCTATGTCATATTGTTTTCCATATATTCACTTCAGTAGTAAATCATGCTCGATTGTAAGTCCTGAATTTAAGTGTAAAAGGTGCGGCTTATATTCGGGGAAATACAGTACTCTCTTAGCTGCGCACCGAAGGCTTGTTCACCACATATCAACTTGTGTACCGTGCCGTCCTGTTAACTCACATGATTCGCGAGAGAGACATGAATACTTGAGAATTTAAAGAGAGAGACAGGCAGACAGGCAGACAGACAGACAGACAGACAGACAGACAAAGAGAGAGAGAGAGAGAGAGAGAGAGAGAGAGAGAGAGAGAGAGAGAGAGAGAGAGAGAGAGAGAGAGAGAGAGAGAGAGAGAGAGAGGGAGGGAGGGAGGGAGGGAGGGAGGGAGGAGAGACGGAGACAGACAGAGAGACAGAGACAGAGAGAAAACAATATTTTTTTCAACGTCAAGATTGCATGTATCCACACAATTTCACACAAAATCCAGTCAAGAAGGCATTTCACATAAGGTATTGGACGTTTTTATTCTCTTCTCTTCAGGGATAATACAGGGGATGGGTCAAATGAGTAAAGACTACAACTTGTATAGCGTAATGGTAATGAGATACACCCAGAACAAACTCTATGTCAAGCATGCTCAATTTGTTCTTCATGGTGAAGGTAACGCACTTCTTCGTCTTCACTTCCTTTGTACTGCGGTCTGTTGTTATTCCCTTGCATTCTCTTCTCAGCATGTCTTTCGTAGACCTGGCTGGGTCTGAGCGGAATCGTGAAAAGGATGGTGTGCGTATGAAGGAAGCCTGCAACATCAACACCTCGCTACTCACACTCGGCAAGTGTATCGAAATCATGAGGTTCAACCAGCGCAACAGGTAAGACGGGTAGGTAAGGCCAAGTAAAAAAAAAAGCTAGATGATCGTCCCCGTCCGCCCCAGTTTTTGTCAGCGCCCCAAGAAATATTTTATTTTTTAAATCGTGAGTTTTTGCCGAAATCGTTGGTTTTTTACCGATCGCGGATGCAGGAAACATGTGCACGCTTTGTTTAATACTTTCTTTACTATATGGACCACATACTACTAGTATATCACAACGTCAGTATCGATCTGCTGAAGAAAGAAAAAGAAAAAAAGAAAAAAAAAGAAAAAAAGAGAAAAAAAACCTTGATGTTGTTGTGTACACTGTGTGCATGAGAGGGTAAAAAGTAAAAAAATAAAAATAAAATCCTCCCGCCCTCCCCGATTTTTCCAAAAAAAAGGACGATCATCTAGTAATTTTTTTTACTCGGCCTAAAAGGTGGGTGAATGGTGGGTGAATGGTGAGTGAATGGTGGGTGAATGGTGAGTGGATGAGTAAGGGAATACAGTACTGTCGGACGCCGAAGAACGGCCAGGCTACAGTCCATTTCAAAACTATAGACGCGTAGTGTTTTGCAAAATTCGATGGGATTTATTTGAATATTTTTAGTTTTTTCTCCAGATTCCGTCTCTGCATCGCTTCACAATTCTGGCTATATACTTTGTTTTCGCTATAATTGAAGTTTATTTTTAGGCCAGGTTTTCCGGTTTTACATGTAATTTCTGTTTTGAAGGGGTTGACCAGTTTGTTTCGGATTTTGCTCCTGCTGAGACAGTGCTGCACCCAGACCATCGCGGGTGCATTTTTGTACGGGTCCTGGTAGCCTCGTGGTTTTGATCCGTGATTTCCAGTACAAGTGTGGGGCATTCGAATCCCATCGCGCCTCCTGCCTTTTTTCTCTTCTTTTCTGCATGTTTTGGATCTTGTTGGGTGAAATACAGTAGATAATTATATTTTCTCTTTTTGATATGATTTGAGCCCCTCCCCCCCCCCCCCCCTCCCCCCTGTTCCCTTTTCTTAAAAGAAAAGAAGAAACATCGTGCAAATATCGTGCAAACAATGCCAAACATATTAGTGGACAGTATAGCGTAACTTGTAGTTCCTTGGTCCTTTTTTCTTTACTATCAAACATAATATGTACCGTAAAGTCGCGGATAAAAGCCGGGTTTGCATACAAGCACATCGCGAATAGAAGCCTGAAAATCAAACGGGTCAAATGCATATAAGCCTGTCGCGCGTAGAAGCCTGGCTTCTATGCAAGCGCGGATCGGGTAGGTCAAGAGTGCATGCGCTATGTACAGTGCATAGTAAAACTGCCGCCATACCAGTAGTCAGTGGTAGATCTACGCGTGTCGCACATAGAAGCCTGGCTTCTATGCAAGCCCGGATCGGCCGATGTGCTAACTTACAAACCTGGCAAAAATGCCCGGATCGGCCGATGTGCTAACTTACAAACCTGGCAAAAATGCCCGGATCGGCCGATGTGCATACAACTTACAAGCCTGGCAAAAATATCAGTTGTGCATATAAGCATGGTTTGCAAACAAGCCTGGTTTGCATTGAAGCCTGATGCAGAAAGCGGCTTATGTGCTTATAAGCCCGGCTTTTATCCGCGACTTTACGGTATGTAATTCCCAGTCTCATTCAATTAAAAAAACACCGCAGTAGGGCGTGCTCACACTGCGACCAAAATCAGCGTCCATGCGACCACGCGGCCTAGTTGCATGGCGACGGCATGAACAGTTTTCTGCCCACAACTCTGAAAAGCAGCGGACAAGCAAAACCAAACTTTCCCAAAAACTATATATAGATATGGAGTCACAAGGCTGCCCAAACCGTTCATTTGTCAAGCGTATCAGAGCCCCACACTTCCCTTGAAGAAGTGAGGTTAAATGCGAGACCGACGCTCCGTCAGAAAGGCAAGACACCAAATAACAGCAGCAGCTACGGCTCAGCAAGGCAGTGGCGAAGCACACACTCCGTCGGAGAGGTGTTCATTCCGAGTCACTTGAGGTGCTGCTATCGCCGCCCAGGGTTATGACTATCTGCTCACAAATCTCTTCTTGAAGACCATCAGTCACCCATGCTTCATCGATTAGTTTGCTGCAATGCTCAACTGCACTTGCCCATTGCTCTGGAGGCATCTCAGCCATGACCACCTTCACGAGCTCTCTGACGTCCGCAATCTTGAAGGTCTTGTTGCGTTTCCCAACTTCTCCCTTGATCCAGGCCCACACCAGCTCAATGGGATTGAACACGCAGTGGTAGGGGGGAAGTCGCAGCACCATGAAACCCTGCCGGGCAGCAAGGTCGTCACATCTGTAAACTGGCTGGGGTTTGTGGGCCTTCACCAGCTTGTACAACTCCGGTTTGAGCATGTCCTGGGTCCATGCTACGCCTTTGTCCGTGAGCCAGGCTTGCATATCGCCTTTCCGGGTGGAGCTGGTTGGGGCTGTACTCTCGTCAGTTTTAACGGAGTGATATGGTGCATTGTCCATGACGATCACAGCACCAGGGGGTAGATTTGGCTTAAGCTGATCTTCCCACCATTCTTCAAAGTGAAGTGCATTCATCTCGTCATGGTAGTCTGCACTTTTCGTGTTGCCAATGAACACCAGGCCACAATTTGGGAGAAATCCACCTGCCCGCGTTCAAAATGATGAGTCGCTTGCCTTTTCCAGACGGTGCCTCCATTGGCTGGTTGTTTGCTGCTGGTGTTCCTTCTTTTCCATACCTCTGAAATGGTACTGTGTGGTGAGCATTGACCCATGTCTCATCAAGGAACACCAGTGGCCTTCCTTCAGCACGATACTCTCTGTACTCTCTCAGAAATCTGTGACGCCAAGCGATGATGTCTGGGCGCACATAAATCCAAGAGACTTGATGGATCTCCAAAACACGGTTTGGGACGTAGATGGTAAGTCGGGAATCGACTCCACACACTTCTGGAACACCTTTGCCACCGTTGGAATTTGTCTCTCACGAAAAAATCCGTGAAACACCTGCATCACAGAACACTTCGTGAAGTCGTCCAGTTCCACCTTTGGCCGGCCTGTTTTGGTAGGAGACTCGTTTTGAGCTTTGCCTTCAGAATCAATAAGATTTTCACCACCAACAAGGTAGTAGCCACCTCCTCCCCAACTTCGCCTGACACAACGAGTGACAGTGGTTTCACTCACGCCAGTTGCAAGGTGAGTTCGACGACGAGGATTCGGATACTCAAGCGTCGATCAAAATCCAGCTCTTGTTCGAAGAAACAATGAACACGACTAATCATATCTTTCTCGGCATCACTGAGATTCTTACGGGCCTTGGAAGCCATTACAGTCGGGCACTCAGAAAATGCAAACAAGAAGAAGATTCATTTGAGACTTTCATTTCTTTTGAGACTTTCCTCACACCTTTTCATTTGCGACTTTGCGAGTTTTGCATCTTTTGTATTTCCCGCGGCGACGAAGAAAAACCTGAAAAACACATCTGAAAACCAGAAAACACTCATGCAAAACTCACAGCTGTCGTGCGCTACAGTACGTACGACCCGTACGTATGAGTTCACGCGTCTATAGTTTTGAAATGGACTGTAGAATTTCGTCAAGCACAGCATACCAATGTATACACGGTGACTCAACTGTGCATAGACTTTAGTACATGGAAATAAGAACGGTTTAGGCTATGAGTCTGATCCCCCAGTTCTTCGGCGACCGACAGTACTGTAATAGGGGATTCACACACACACACGGGTAAAACCATCGTTGTGGGAAAGTTGTTATGGAAACCATGGCACTGGGGGAAAGGAAGAACCTCTCGGGGAAAAATTGGCAAAGCCGTGGCCGTGGACCTCAGGGCGTTTGTCAAGAGAAAAATTCCATGGCTGTAAGACGCGCATGCGTAGATCTTGTCTTTGGCGAGAACTCTGAACCCTAGTTGTACGAGTGCATCACAGCCTGCATTATCAGACAGTGCCCAATGGAAAATCGTGCCTGGAGAATGCAAAACATAATACAGAATGTACTACAAAAAATGCAGTACAGTTATTTTTTTAAATCCCCCGCCCCAAATTCATGGCCAAACATGCGGCCAAGGGAAAACTGACCACGGTTGTGAACGACCCCACTCCGTTGACCAAAGGTATGAACTTTTACCTTGTCCCGTTACCTCAGGTTTCCCCGCGAGTGTGAATCCTCTATAAGCGAGTTTGTATGGCAAAGAGGCAATGGAATTCTTCTGTAAGAACCTGGCATGGAGGCTGTTTCAGCCTGGGCACTGCCAAGCATGGACTTAGAGTATACTCTGTACACTCAACATTCTACTCTAGTACTTCAATGCTGGTGTTGGAGGTAAGTTCGACCAATTATGGCGATGTTGTTGACCAACTGGCAACTGCAGTACTGATCAATGAAATCCAGTCACAGCGTCACTCAAGTACTAGTACACCCCGGGCATTGCGCAGCCTTAGACCTGCCAACACTAGGCTGCGAAATGATGCAAGGCGCAGACTTCAGCGATGCGACTGGATTTCATTGAGCAGGGCTGTACCACAGCAGCAGTAGCATTGTATATGAACATCATTACATGGCTGTGTCTAACACGCTGACAGTAGATGTGCTTGCGTCGACGACGTTCTCGGTCTCTACTCTCTGTCTCATGCAGGTGCAATGCCCAGCGCCTGGTGCCGTTCCGCGAGAGCAAACTCACACGCTTGTTCATGGGCTTCTTCCAAGGCGAGGGTCGCGTGACGATGATCGTCAACATCAATCAGATTGCTAGCATGTTTGATGAGACGTATCGTGTGTTGCGCTTCTCTGCTCTGGCAAGAGAGGCAAGTGCAGAGTAGGCGTTTATAGAAGAATCTGTGTGTGTCGACTTCTTAGTATTGATCTCCAACTAGAATCTACTTCCGGTTGTATGTAGGATCTGTGCACCAGAATGAAGACACTGACAGGGATCAGAAGTCAATAGTAATGTGGACAGTGTGCCATGGCTACTACTTGCACAGTGCTATAATAATACAATGTACTGTAAATATACACACGGAAAGTTGGGTGTGGTATCGCCACAGGCGTGAAACTCTGAGTCACAGCCAACCCAAGCTCCGTATCCCATTCTATTCTTTTTGTACTGTAAATATACAAATTCTCGGCAGCTATTTAGTTTCGGCTATATTCGGCACCGACCCAAAACGCCTAAATTAAAACGCCGATGAAATTTTTCACAGCATCTGTTGCACTATACCATGCCCTCTACCCCACGCCGAAAATAAATCGCCGCCGAAATGTCGAAAATCGTGAAGTGCCGAAGTTTTGCAGCGCCGAAATTTTGTATATTTACAGTGTAGTGCAAGTCAGCAGTGACTGCATGCCTGTATATGTAACCGACATTGAGTCCAGACTTATGCACTAATTTGAATCAGCTCCCCATTTGTTTGTCGACTACTACATGTACTAGCATTTCACTGTTGAGCTGAACACCGGTCAGCTAATCCAGTCTTGGGCTTTGCATTGGATCATAGCAGTATCTGTACATGTACTGCATGTATTCAGTCCTGATCAGCTTGTTGTTTCTGTGTGCATTGCGCTGTTGCTGTTTGCCGCTTGTAGCTTGTTCCTGGTGGTCATCGTCCAGCACGTCACACTGGATCAGCTCCGGCGGCTGCTGGCAGCAAGTTAGCCGGCAAGGAAGCAGGCGACCGTGACAATGCCGGAGATGCTGCCAAGGTGGCTGAGCTTGGCAAGCTGTGCGCGCAACATGAGGGCGAGATCGACGTGAGTCTTATTATCGAGTAGTAGATGTCGACTGGTGCCTATGCAAAATACAAATGCAGGCAAGCAATCATCTCTTGGTCGAACACTGACACGGCAAAATTGGTTGGGTGTACTGAAAATGTGATTGTTATAGTAAGTAGATTGCATTCTGCTTTGTGATCAACAGGGATATCGTAAAATCGTTCAGTCTCTGCGTGATGAGCTGCGTCAAGCACGCATGGAGAAGATTGAACAGGAAGTGAACATTCGCCGCGAGGCCGCTGAGGAGATGGCGAATCAGCTGATTGAAATCGAGGAAGCTAACCAGTACGTGAACGCAGTATTGGGCTTGTCCTGTTGTGTGTTGTCAATCCAATCTTTCATGCAATTGATGGTTGCTAGACCATTGCTCCATTGGAGGTTCTCAAGACATTCGTCACATTCATCAGTTGACTTGTGCTGCATACCATGTGCCTCTCCCCGTGCAATTTTCTGACCTCTTCCTCCATTGACCTACTGTTGTGTACTAGTGTTTAGTAGCCGGTAAACCTGCCATGTAGCCATGTAGCCATGTAGCCATGTGCACGTCAGTAAAAGAGCTTGACAACAGTTATAAGTTTAGAGTTCATCCCTGACGCTTTGCTGTTGTTCGGTCGCTTGTTCCGACTTTGCAGGGAGCGAGTGGCAGAAGCTGTGAGTGCCGTTGAGGAGCGCCATGAGCAGCAGCTGGAGATCCTCTCCAAGTCCATCAAGCGCCGGTATGTGAAGAAGCGGCGGCGGCCCGACAGTGACGAAGAGTTTGAAGGCAATTTGGTGAAGTTCCGCGGCCAGCATGATGCTGAAAAGTGGCAAGCTAAGGTAGCCTTGTGACGAGCGATTGCATTGCCTTTTGATAAATTAGGTTGCATTTTGACTTACACTTAGCTGCATAACACTGTTGGCAATGTTTCACGAGACTCTCTTTGTGGTTGACTTCGACCAGACTGTGTTCTTTCTGTGTGAGTAACGGTATAGAGTAAAACCTGTCAAGGTGGCCTCTCTGTCAAGGTGGCCTCTCTGTCAAGGTGGCCTCTCTGTCAAGGTGGCCTCTCTGTCAAGGTGGCCTCTCTGTCAAGGTGACCTCTCTGTCAAGGTGGCCTCTCTGTCAAGGTGGCCTCTCTGATAAGGTGGCCTCTCTGTCAAGGTGGCCTCTCTGTCAAGGTGGCCTCTCTGTCAAGGTGGCCTCTCTGTCAAGGTGGCCTCTCTGTCAAGGTGGCCTCTCTGTCAAGGGGGCCTCTCTGTCAAGGTGGCCTCTCTGTCAAGGTGGCCTCTCTGTCAAGGTGACCTCTCTGTCAAGGTGGCCTCTCTGATAAGGTGACCACCTGTCCCACAGGACCACTACAACTAGGGGCACGGGCTGTCATTTCCAGTCATTTCCAGGCAACCGGCCCACGATAGGTAAACCACCTGCGCACGGGGACCACATTTTGATGGTCCCTAGAGCAGTCGCCTTAGACATAACCATACAAGAAAGTCTATTCTGGAAAAAACAATGTACCTAAACTCCAAACAAGGTGTCATGTTGTATGGTAATGTCTGTGGCTGGCATTCATACTCTTTATAGCTTTAATTGTAGTATTTCAGTGGCTGATATTGCTCTGGAATTTACAAAGACAGCTCATTCTCTGTATTATGCTTGATCCGATCTGTTATTCAGTGCAAGCAGCTAGAAGAAGAGAAGATGACGTTGGAAGAGGAATTGACCGAACGGGTATGCTTCTTGCCTCTTTTTTTCTGGCGCACCATTGACGAGTTTTCGCAGGAGTTTGTGGCATACTGATGTTCCTATTGCAACGTTGCATTGTGTGTGTGTGTTGGCATTAATAATGATGTACCAGAATTGGCTTTGGTGTCCCGGTATGGCATGAGTAACAGTGTGCGGTCGCCGCCAGTACTGTATTGAGTCTGGTGACCTTTACTGTGTGTGTGCGTGTGTGCGTGTGTGTGTGTGTGTGTGTGTGTGTGTATGTGTGTGTTCATGCTTGTGTACTTGTGCTGGATGATGCTGCGGGTGCAGAACCATCAGTTGGAGCGAGAGAAGAGCGTCCTTCAGTATGAACTGTCTGGCAAAGTGAGTTCTACTGTACTGCTGCTGCTGCTGCTGCTGCTGCTGCTGCTGCTGCTGCTGCTGCTGCTGCTGCTGCTGCTGCTGTTGTTTCAAATCTTTATTCTCACGATAGCCAGTGGCCAATAAGAGATATGTTGTTGTTGTTGTTGTTGTTGTTGTTGTTGTTGTTGTTGTTGTTGTTGTTGTTGTTGTTGTTGTTGTTGTTGTTGTTGTTGTTGTTGTTGTTGTTGTCTCCTTGGGGCAAGACGTTTGGCTATTATATTCCCACAAGTGTGTATCATACATAGCATAGCTTTGCATTTTTTTTGTATGTATCTCGTTAATTTACTCTTTTTTGTCCATACGTTGCTGTGCTGTCCAGATGGAGGATGCTGTGCGCTGTGATGATCTCAGCCAGAAGGTAAAGCCGATAGAGCTACTTAACTTGGCAGCAATTATTTGAATTTATTTCTGTGAGGTGATTTAGATAAAACCATTTTGTTTGAAACCTTGCAGTGGGCATATGCATTCAACTAAGCATGTTTACTGTAAAGCGACAAACTTTCGCGGCGCGCAAATTTAGCGTTTTCATAAATTGGGCTGGTTCACGATGAGAAACTTTTGCGATTCTATCTTTTCAGTCGGATCTTGTACTGTCTACAATCAATGTACGAAGAGGTTTGCGGCGATTTATATTCGCGAATGTGTGATGGTTGCGAAAATAGCGAAATTTAATCTCTAGCGAAAGTTTCTCCCTTTACAGTAGTTGTGAAAGTTATGAGTTTCTCTTCCTGTGTTTGTTTACGCGTGTCTGCAGTGTGCTCAACTGGAACAAACAATCTCGGAGCTCACTCAGAAGTTGACACAAGAGGTGAGTTAGGTCACTTCCTATCCGTAGAACCTGTCATTTTTACTTTTGCTCCTGTTCATCTGTTGGGCACACGTGCTGCTTGTGTACTTTGTTCTTGTGCTCTTTTCACATTTTGAGGGTGAGGATGAGGGGCTAAATTGAAGTACAGTAAAACCTGGTTCAAGCGACCCCCCACACACACACACCCCACGGTGCACGCAAAAGCGGTCGTTAAAGCCAGGTGATCTTTAGAACCAGGTCCCACAGTGTCTGTTTAGAACTGTCCGTGCATAGAAAAACGGTCGTTAAGAGCAGGTGGTCGCTAATAGCAGAGGTCGCTTGCACCAGGTTTTACTGTATTTTGAAGTCTTTTCTTTCTGTAAGAAGTGTGGATGATGCCAATGATTTGGAAAACTCCTAGTGTGGCCTTCTCACCCCCATGTAAATTCTGTTCCATGCCGAGAATTTGATGAAACCATGTCCTGTCCTGCTCTTTGTTGTTCTTCTTCTTCCCTTTCTCCAGACTGCACGTTATGGTAATCTTCAGGAAGAGCTCGGCCGCATTCATCATGACACCAATGAAGAGATCCAGCGGAAAAACGCAATGGCTGCCACCATTGAAGAGCAAACAAGAGAGCTGCTGAAGGCGCGCGCTGACATCATGCAGCTGCGCCACGAGAAGGTGGCTTTGAACGAGAAAGTGACGGCTGCCGCACTGACGTCCAGTTCAAGGAGCGGAGGAGCTGTGGCGTCGAAGGGCACTAATACAGATGGCAAGGGCAGCGAGTCAGATCATATCATGCAGCTCAACGCCAGCTTGGAGGAAGCACAGACACGTGTTGCCCAGCAGGATGCAGAGCATGCCAAGGAGCTGGAACAAGTCAACGGCCACATTTCTGAAATCTCTGACACTCTACGCATGGCCCAAGACACCCTGGAATCGTATGAAGAACAGCTGTTGCAGCTCAAAGAAGCCTTGGCTCAAAAGAAGCTGGAGCTGCAGGAGTTTGAGGAGCGCCATGACAGCCAGCTGCAGCAAATCCAGGCATTGGAATCAGCCGCGGCAGTGCCTGTTCAACCTGAGAGCCAAGGTGTTGATGCCGCAGGCCAAGCTAGTGCTGAGATTGAGCAGCTAAAAGCACAACTGGAGGCATTGCAGTGTGAACACGTTGTCGCAATGAAGGCCTTGAAGAGCGCTCATGCTGCTGCACTTGAAACTCTCAACACTGACCATTCATCTGCAGTAGAGGCATTGGAAACCAAGCATACTTCCCGGGTTGAATCAATGCAGCATGACCATGCGTCGACAATGGAGAGATTAGAGAGTCAGCATATTTCTACAGTCGAAAGACTGGAGAGCAAGCATGCGTCCACCATCGAAGGTTTGGAGGGCAAGCATGCAGCTGCAATGGAAGGTTTGGAGACACGGCACATGTCCACCGTTGAAGCTATGCAACATGAGCATGCGTCCGCTATTGCCGCAGTGAATTTGTCAGTGACACCAGCAGATGGTATCAAAAAGGTAGGGTGACTTGTTGTTCAGCTTTGTCCACACACACACACACACACACACACACACACACACACACACACACACACACACACACACACACACACACACACACACACACACACACACACACACACACACACACACACACACACACACACACACTGTATAGTCTGTGTGTGAGTGTATGTGCACGTGTGTGAGTGTATGTGCACGTGTGTGTGTGTGTGTGTGTGTGTGTGTGTGTGTGTGTGTGTGTGTGTGTGTGTGTGTGTGTGTGTGTGTGTGTGTGTGTGCATGTGTAGTATGAAAGTATGTGTGTGTGTGCATGTGTATGAAAGTATGTGTGTGTGTGTATGTGTATGAAAGTGTGCGTGTGTGTGCATGTGTGGGCATGATGCATGTGCACTGTGTATGTCCACCCGCACCCCCCCCCCCCCCCCCCAGTCTGCATGGATACATGAAGAAGAAAACCTACAATGTGATATGCTATGCGACTGTGTTGAAGTAGTAATGTCAGACATGTCCTCTGTCCGCCTGTGCAAGCACCTGATACCGGTGGCTGGCGGAGTAACAGGTATGCAGCACAGATCACTCTGGCTGCATTGCCGCCGCTAGTCTCTTCCCTTATGCAACGTGGCTTATGCCGCAACTAGTCTTGTGCATGCAATGCTGCTGCTGGCCAGTGTATACGCTATCCAGAATGTGTGAATACAACTAGGTCAGCTGCTGCATGGCCCGATGGCCTAGTGCTTCCAACACTGACCTGTTCTGCACTTGACCGACAATGAGCATTCGGGCGATTTTGTTTGTGGCATGTAATCTAGAATTTTATGGAGGCTAGAAAGACCGAACCTGCTTGCCTGGGCACCAGAATCCAAGAGGACTTTGCTCTGCGTCTATGTGTAGTGCAGTATGAAGTCTAAAACCTCAGTTCCTGGCATCACCAATAGCAACGGATGCCGCATCTCTGAGCTATTGGAATGCCATTCTGGTCACCTTTTTTTCTCTTTTTTTGGTGTCGGACTACATGTACTACAAATTCTAAAATGTAGTAGTTTCCTTGTTCCTCTAGCACATACTTGGCCACTGGTTCTGTGTTCAGGTTTTTCACTGGTGACGTCATCAAAGGGGCATTTTTAGGAAAGAAACACATCCCCGGAATGAAGATTCCACTCAGCGGCGAGCAAACCCCTTTCAGAGTTGGGGTGATATTGGCTGCCAATAGATCGTTCGTGTATTTTTTTAGGACTTTTTGATATTTTCTGTTTCGCCTATTCTGCAGTTACATGCATATAAGCACCTCAGTAACCCCGCTCGTTCCTCATTCTTCCTTCCATTTGGCAAATGCTGGTTTTTATACGTTGTGTAATTACTCAGCGTTATTTGCAATAATAAAAAATACTATTAGATCCCAATCAAATTGTTTGGGTGGACTTTAATGCTGTCACTGTTCGTTGCTGTTATCTTGCGTTTTGTGACTTGGTGTTACTACCGTCATCTTCTCCATGGTTTCACGATACCGGCATTGCCTCCATGGTTTCACTATGCCACCATCTTTTCCATGGCTTCCATTGGCATTGCTTCTACTACTCTGCTACCATTGTCACTTAAAGTCACAGAGAAAGCCACGTGCCACTGCTGGTGCCGGTGCTGCTTCTCCACTCACCTGCCTATCTTCACCAAGGTTAACAAGATCTGCCATGAAAAAGGTAGCGAACAACCGTGTGACTAATACCTAGACCTTGAAAGCAAGTGCATCAGTCCTAGTGCTGATCAGGGTCCTTTCCTTTGTCTCACCTTCCCATCCAGTGCATTCTGTCTCTCATCTCCTGCTGTGCTGAGCAGCGCATCCAGTGCATTCTGTCTCCCATCTCCTGCTGTGGCGAGCGGTGCAATGCCGTATTCCTGAGTCTAGTCGCTCTCCTCTCTGATCAGCAGCACCCTTGTGCCAATACCTGCATGATGCCTGCGTAGGGCATGCATGAGGGTTCCAACACATGCATGAGTGTGCCAATGCATGCATGATGCCTTCAAAGGGCATGAGTCTGCCTTCCGTGCCACTTGCCCTCCCCGGTGGTTATTGGTGCAGCGCCCTGACGAGCCATCACCAAGTGTAGTCCAGTGCATGCTACTGCTGCTGCTGCTGCATGACGGTGTCTGACCAGCTGAGCAGTGTCACCACTGCATGCACTGTTATTCCTTGCAGTCTGTTTGGCCAGGTACTTTGGCTGACTCTTCACTGCTCTTTCTTGAGTAGCCTACCCTGTTCCTAACGCTTGTTGTTGTGTGCTGGTTTTATCCGTGTTCTGCTTGCTCTACTCCTCTGCTCCATCGCCCGTACCAAACGTAGTGCGCAGTGATGCTGAACCGCGTGCCTGTGCCTCCAGTGCATGCTGTCCCGCTTGAGTCTGTAAGTCTTCACCAGCTGATGCTAAGCTTCATGTCTGGCTATACGTATTTGTCTGCATCGCTGCTCTCCAAGACTGGGAATGCTCTTGCTAGAATTTTGAGCAGATCTATGTTCTTTGTCTGACAGTCACTCTGGGTATTTCAGAAAATACCTGGGGTCACTCCATAATCAACAAATTCTCTTTGACATTAAATGAACATCTGACCGGCTGATTGTTGTTACTGCTGCACTCTCCTTTCCTGGCAGAGTGTTGATGCCAAGGATGATGCGGCCGTAGCTGATGCACTTGACAAGACGCAAGATCTCGACAAGACGCTCGATTTGGACAAGACGGCCCAGCACGACCATATTGGTGATGTATCTGCTGCTGGTGAGGTGAGTAAGCTCATTGCCTTGCTTCACTTTGATTTCAGACACGGCTAAGAAGGAGACAGCTGAAAAGCAATGGATTGTGTGTCTGTGCCACTATGAGTTTTTGTGTGCGCGCATGCTATTCCTCTTGCTGCCAAAGGCTCTTGACATTTTTGTATGCGCTTTTGCGATTGGGCCTGTTTAAACCGAACGCCAAGATGGTTGATAACGGATGGCCTTGTGTGTATGTGAGGTCTCAGGTATTGTGTTGTCGTGTTTGCTCTCTGATTACTGTTGCCAGGATGTTGTTGACCCTGACTTGGTGTACGATATGGAGACCAGTGTGCATGAGGAACGAGACGTAACCCCTGGCCTTGGCAAGAAGAGGAAGCGATTCAACCGCCAATGCAAGAAAGCTGGAAAGGAGGTTAGTGGAGTGAGGTGTCTATTTGGCATTCAGGCAGTGTGACTTGCAGAGGCATTGTGTAAAGTAATGCTGCACGGGCAGTAAGATCTCCTGCCCTACCATTATCCTTGCAGCCAGAACAAGGTTTTTTTCACTGTAGCCCAGCCTGTCCAGGCGAGGACTTTAATCTCAGAGCGACTCCTTCACTATGTACTTTGTGAGAAGGTAGCGTTAGGCCACACGTTTTTATTTCCATGTTTCTCGTCACCTGAAAATCTAAAAACGTATGCGAGAGGTGGAAAAAAATAAAAAATGACCGAAAAATAAAAGAAGTTTATTAGACCTTTGTTCACACTAAAATCCACCAATACACCATGCAAAATAGCATCCATCGTTAGCAACTAGTATATGGTAGGAGCTTCTGTCACGATCTGTGCATGTGCAGCTAGGTTGCGCACAAGAAATACCGACCTCGCATCATGTGTCGCGCAGGCCAGGCCACATTATGTACATGTACATGAGTGTGTTGGTCCCCACATACACATGCACACTCAGTGCAGCACAGTTTTTTTTCTTTTTTTCTTCCAGACTCCTGAATCGTATGCGCGCGGGTGACGAGAAACATAGAAATAAAAACGTGTGGCCTTACCTCCGGGTGTGCAGCTGGAAGTGCTAGAACTTAGCCTAGAAGTATAAGTGAAAAGTACAGCGAACATTAGCTTTGCATCTTTGCAATTTGTGTCAGATTTCACCTGGCATACGGCTGCACTATTCCCATTGCTATGCTATGTGCACTTGCTTACATGCCTGTGTGTGTGCAGGGCGCAGCAGCAGCAGCATCATCATCATCCACGGCTGCCACTGCTACTGCTGCTGCTGCAAAGCGCACCCGGAAAGCAAAAGAGTAAGTTGTGTTCATGTGCCAGCCAGCGCTTTATTTGCTGTTTCTTTTATTCCTCCTCTCTTTCTTTTTAAGGTTTAACCCTCCCATGTTATGTTAACACGCTGAGTTTGTTTAAAAGCTTCTTATTCGCGTAACATCTTCTCAGAGTAGTTTGGCTGTTGCTGTCTATGTTCGCGGTCATAGATTTTCTCATGAAAGCTACCCCATGAAATTCCCATTAAGTTTTTTATCCGTCGTCTCGATTCCCCCCCTCTGACTACAGTACTACTATGTAACCCTGTCGCTCTCTCTCTCTCTCTTGTCCCTTCTTTTCCGTTTTCTCCAGCAACTATCATTTTTATTTTTTCATATGCATACAGGCCATGCAGGCCCTGCCCTGCTGACAAATGTTGGACGCATTACTTACCTACATTTTCATCGCTCAGCAGACCTTTTCTGGCTCTGTGTTTCTTTGTTTGCAAGCTGGATGAGCTTTCCACTGCAAATACCTGTGTTCTGTCAGTTCTGTCAGCTAACTCTTTTGCCACAAGCCATTGGCACATGGCGTTTAATGTACTAACGACCTAAACCTAAGCATACGAGACTGACTTGCTTTGATGGGTGCTACTGATGTTGGTCTGGTGTGCTTACAACACAACAACACTGCATTGATGAATGTGCCCAGTCTTGTGCATGATTGCCTGTGTAGGTTACTACTTACTCCTGTACAGGGTTAGCAGTGTGTTTGTATCAGTGTGCAGTGAGGCATATGACTGCACACGTCTACAGGTACTAGCACCGGTATTGTTTTGTCGCATGTTCAAACTGACACTAATCCCACTGATGTGTGTGAAGCGTCTGGGTGCTCCTTTGCTGGTAGGTAGAACTTTGGCAGCGAGCCTGTACTTCAAGTGTGTGTGTGTGTGTGTGTGTGTGTGTGTGTGTGTGTGTGTGTGTGTGTGTGTGTGTGTGTGTGTGTGTGTGTGTGTGTGTGTGTGTGTGCACTGTGTGTGCACTGTGTGTGCACTGTGTGTGAGCGTGTGTGCGTGCCTGTGCGTCCACTGTGTGTGTGCACTGTGCGCGCACTTGTGAATATTTGTCACCATGTACACGATGCCCATTCATTGTTTGCTGTGCTCAGCCCCAAAAGCAGCGAGAGCGCCATTGACAGCGATTGTGAGAATACGTCCGTCTTCTCAGCCGCCGGCTCTTCTCTTGTCAGCCTGATCACGTCGCCATTCACAAAGTCAGGTGAGTTGTGATCATGTGTAGATCTACTAGTACTCCAGCTGTACCTGGCAGTAGGGAAACGGGCATGATTGATGTGGATCTACTATCACTCCAGCTGTACCTGGCAGTAGGGAAACGGGCATGATTGTAGATCTACTATCACTCCAGCTGTACCTGGCAGTAGGGAAACGGGCATGATTGATGTGGATCTACTATCACTCCAGCTGTACCTGGCAGTAGGGAAACGGGCATGATTGATGTAGATCTACTAGTACTCCAGCTGTACCTGGCAGTAGGGAAACGGGCATGATTGATGTGGATCTACTATCACTCCAGCTGTACCTGGCAGTAGGGAAACGGGCATGATTGATGTGAGCGTTAGCAAACTGTACAGTTCGAATCCTGATATTGCATGGGCTCTGGACCGGAGAGATGCTCTGCATTGACTGATATTACCGGTGTCAATATGTATAATGAAACCTGTCCTAAAGAACAACTGGGCACTGAGGCCACCTTTCAGCAGTCCCCTGGAGGTGCAAACCAGCACAGTTGAACTTCAAAAATCTTTGAAATAAAGACAGTTCTTTGGGTGTCCACATTTCCCAGATGCCACTGTTATTCTGCACTTTAAATTGCATGAAACCACATCCGACAGAGACTGAGGAGTTGCTAGTTATAATCAATGTATTATCTGAACTCTACCTGTATTTGCAGTACCGGTAGTACATGGCTGCAATGGCCTGTCGGTAGTGCTCATGTGGGTGCTGTGCAGTAGCAACAATCGTTTTTCTACTTCCCTGCAGATTGAGGGTGAGGATTCAATCTTGGCTCAATAGCACTAGTTGTATCATAATAGGAGTGGCTGACATTGCATTATTACTTTTTTTCTTCATTACAAGTCCTTGTGGTGTTTCTCTGTCATATTGTGTTTGTGCACTGAAGGCATCAAGAATTCAGTGAGTAGCACGGAGAAGACGGTATCACCGCTGGCACCCATCGCCGACAACACTGCAGGTGGTCCATCTCGGCCACGCACGCGCAGAAAGCTGCTGGGAAAGTCGCAGATCTCCAGTCCCATCAGCATTCCCGGATGCGGCCCTGCAATTGTGAGCAAGCCAATTTAATAGTCCACTGCTGCTTATGTTGCATGTCTCATGACTGCCCATGAAACACGTATTGCCATAATTATATCTTGAAATTTCTTGGACTTTTCGAGGTGCTGGGTTTGCTAGTGTTACAGACAGGGGTGACATTTTGATCCTGAAGAACTCCTTGCGATCACTTCATTTCTGGAAGACACCCGTCCTTTTTAGTAATTTTACCTTAGTACCAGGCCATGTCAGCTGCCGTCACCATCAGGTATTAGACATGTTGGTTTTCGCCTTCTGACTGACACAGTGCATGATTGCAGTGGATGATTGCAGTGGATATGTTGCTCATTGTAGCAATGCCGGGTATGTATTAAAATAGACCTGCAGGTTTTGTCAGGCGAGGGTGTAAAGTTTCCTCTTGGCTCCTGAGCGTATTGCGGGGCAGTGCTTACTTCAAAATATTCAATAATTAGGGCTGAAACGAATGCTCAATGAAGCGAACGAATATTCATTTCCCGAATACATGTGAAACGAAGAATATTCCGAATATTCTAAACCATACAATAGGGAGGTTTCGCTTTACGTAATTACGTATGAAAATCCGTATGTCGTACACGCCGGGGAGCGAGGGCAACTTTCATACGTAAATCTCATATTCCGAATATTCTAAACCATACAATAGGGAGGTTTCGCTCTACGTAATTACGTATGAAAATCCGTATGTCGTACACGCCGGGGAGCGAGGGCAACTTTCATACGTAAATCTCTCTACGGATTTCCGTAGGAAAGCTGTTTCCCACGTTGGGGCCTCTGTAGGACTTTTTGAAGTATTTTTTGCATTTTCCTGATTTATCCATGGCAAAGTTTAAGCCGCGCGAAACACAAGGTACACACATCGTACACCACGTGCAAAATACGATGGAAAACACGATTTCGGTTCGCGGTGCATGCGGTGGGCACATGCAGCCAACGCGTCTCCAAAGCAACAAGGCATGTTGAGCAGTTGTGGAGAAATCACGTAGAGCGAAACCCAACAGCGCTGATCTTTACGTATGAAAATTACGTGCAGTTCCTACGTTATTTTCATACGTAATTCCGTAGAGCGAAACCTCCCTAATATCGATGGATACCTAGTTGTATCCATGGTAACAAGAGTCCATAAACAAGAGTATGCAACTGTGATCTCTTTTCTATGGACCAGATGCGCGGCGCGCTGCCTTCATTAGGCCATCATTTTTTATAGCTATGTTTCGCGTCGTCCGCACGCATACGTTTTGATTTTTTCCGGAAAAAAATAAAAAATCGAACATGCACAGTGAGTGTACGATCGTGCGAGTCATCAGTGTGGACAGTTTGCATACGGCGAAGCTGGGATTCAGAAATGGCCTCTAGCCTAGGCCAGCGTTGGTAAATCGTTTGTTCAGCATCTGGGAGCAATATTCTATGAGCTTACACCAGACCGCATTGATCGCCTAAGCTGAGAGGATGCGTCGTTCCGGAGCTCTTTGCACCGCTGCTGAAGTGTGAGTACAATATTCCAGCGAAGCATAGGCACCATGACCAACGGTTGCCTCCTCTGTCCAAAGTGAATATTTACTCATGCTGATAACCCAGATGTTGTGCTTCGATGTACAGTAAGTATCGTTTATAAAGTGACCGGATATAATGATATACCGGTTATAGTGATAGAACACGTCAAAATCAAAATCAAATCAGAAAAAATACAGCTAAAATATCACTATATGTATAGATTATAGACTGGTTAGGAGGTCTATACAGGATATATAGACCGAGTAAAAGACCGAGGTCCCCCGAGGTCTTTTACGAGGTCTATATATCCTGTATAGACCAACTATGAGGTCTATAATCTATTTATCGTGTTCTCCACGCAATAGTTTCTCTTCATATACGACATATCCTTGTAATTCTAGTATTATACTATAGCCTATACTGCATTGAAAGTCAAGATCATTGCTTAAACTAGGTTCAGCATCGGTAGCACAGTGGCTGGGTGGTAAGGAAGAGTGACTGAGATTCACAAGGTTGTGGGTTCAAATCCCATCTTGTGTATTTCTGCTTTCTTCAACAATTTCTTTTTCTAAGTTGGAGAGAAAATTTCTAAGTCCAAGAAGTTCTAAGGAGTCAAATATAAGTAGTCAAATATATCATGTATTTGACTAAGCAGTCAAATACGCGATATATTTGACCGCTTAGGTATCAGGGAAATTAGTGGGGTCAAATACTAAGAAGGCGATAAACACTATTATCGCCTTCTTAGTATTTGACCCCACTAATTTCCCTGATACCTAAGCGGTCAAATATATCGCGTATTTGACTGCTTAGTCAAATACATGATATATTTGACTACTTATATTTGACTCCTTAGAACTTCTTGGACTTAGAAATTTTCTCTCCAACTTAGAAAAAGAAATTGTTGAAGAAAGCAGAAATACACAAGATGGGATTTGAACCCACAACCTTGTGAATCTCAGTCACTCTTCCTTACCACCCAGCCACTGTGCTACCGATGCTGAACCTAGTTTAAGCAATGATCTTGACTTTCAATGCAGTATAGGCTATAGTATAATACTAGAATTACAAGGATATGTCGTATATGAAGAGAAACTATTGCGTGGAGAACACGATAAATAGATTATAGACCTCATAGTTGGTCTATACAGGATATATAGACCTCGTAAAAGACCTCGGGGGACCTCGGTCTTTTACTCGGTCTATATATCCTGTATAGACCTCCTAACCAGTCTATAATCTATACTTATCGGCTATACCGATATATCGCTTATTGTGATGGACTTCAGGAAGCAAACCATATCAAATGTACAGGAAAATATCGCATGTAATGATCAAGAGTGATGATCACAAAACAATTGTTTTTTCAATAAAGTTCACTTCTTCCAAAACTGATCCAGTGTTGCCTGGTTGCATCTGGCAGCAGACGTGGCTGAGAGAAAATTCTCAATTTTAGACAGGTGTCCCTGTATGCTGTGGTCACGAATGTCACTCGACGTACTCATGATCTCTTTTTGCACCAACCCATTATTTTACCTGCACACACATGTCCGTTTCTGGCTGTGCTACCCCTCGCAATGTGCTGTTTCTGGCTGTGTTGCCTCTCACACAGTCCGCGGAGCATGCATGCACTTTCAGCATGCTTTTTCCAGCGTGTACGCATCATTTCATGTGCAGTCATGTGCCATGTGTCGGTCAAACATGCAAATCGGCTATAGTGATGCACCGGATATAGTGATACATTTTCGAAAATCAAAGGGGCACGTTATATCCGATATTTACTGTACGATTTTTCTTTCGAATGTACACCATGCACAAGGTACTGTGCTATGTACAGTGCATACACCTCTGATGAGCCATTTTTATTACTTTGCAACTTTTTATTTTTTTTCCACCTCTCGCATATGATTCTGGAAGTCGAACTGACGCGAAACATAGATATAAAAAATGATGGCCTTACATCATTCAGCTGCAGTCCGCGCACTGCGGAAAATCAAACACCGCACTTTCCCTCTGGTTTGAAATGAACTTTCGTACGGAACTGGGGTTCACGCGCCAGAATTTAGAGATCGCGTAGGTACTGGAACGAATCGAGCAAAAACGGATGGGCTCGTACGAGAAATTGTGAGTTTGAATGCATGCTTTCAGAGCGTGATGAAGGCAAGTTACGTAATGAAGGCAGCGCGCCGCGCACTGACCCATAACCACAGTTGCATACTCTTGTTTATGCACTCTTGATGGTAACCATGGACCATTAACTGGTGTGTACCCCAATTCCAAGAGAGATGTGTGAAAAGGACAATGTTATCATTTGTCTTGCTGATGATAACACATTGAAAGTGGCAAGTGTACTCGTATTTTGCACCAAATAAGCCTGATCGGTCCCCAAAAGGCGAGCTACTGTACATACACGAATATTCTTATTCTACTTCAGGGATGAATTTATTGTCATATTTTTGCATAGCAGTTTTGGCTATACAAAATCACAATTGTGTAGCAGTCTTTAGTTTTGATTAGCGTTGGGTGTTTACCGCATTGTCCTTCTTCAGAGTGATGCTTGAACGCCCATTTGCAAAAAACTCGACTGAATCATACATGTGCACGCAGATTGAGAGTGCCTGTATCACATACACTGCACTGTATGCATGTTACTTGACCGTAAAGGCTAGGCATGGATAGTCTGTATGTATCGCAGTTTTCTGCGAGTCACGGTGACTTTTGAGTAGCAGTAGATCGATTTTGCATCGCAAACTGCGATGCGATACAGGATAAATTCATCCCTGTACAAAACGACGAATATTCTTTTTCCGGTCTGCATATTTCGAATATTCCTTTCAACCCTAATACGTATTTATTTGTTGTGGGCTAATTTCAGGATCTATGATAGCCATTGGTTTACTTTTGAAATAAGAAATGTCACCAATGTCCAGTTCTGAGCAATTGCACCAAAGAACAGGCTGCCGCATCGTTTAGAAATTCCTCACTGTCTCACTGTCAACGCAATGTACCTTTTCAATGACAATATGAGTGTTTCTCTTTGATCGCGTTGTCTGTGTTGTCTGTGTTGTTTGTGTTGTCTGTGTTGTCTGTGTTGTCTGTGTTGTCTGTGTTGTTTGTGTTGTCTGTGTTGTCTGTGTTGTCTGTGTTGTCTGTGTTGTCTGTGTTGTCTGTGTTGTCTGTGTTGTCTGTGTTGTCTGTTGTCTGTGTTGTCTGTGTTGTCTGTGTTGTCTGTGTTGTCTGTGTTGTCTGTTGTCTGTGTTGTCTGTGTTGTCTGTGTTGTCTGTGTTGTCTGTGTTGTCTGTGTTGTCTGTGTTGTCTGTGTTGTCTGTGTTGTCTGTGTTGTCTGTGTTGTCTGTTGTCTGTGTTGTCTGTGTTGTCTGTGTTGTCTGTGTTGTCTGTGTTGTCTGTGTTGTCTGTGTTGTCTGTGTTGTCTGTGTTGTCTGTGTTGTCTGTGTTGTCTGTGTTGTCTGTGTTGTCTGTGTTGTTTTGCAGGAACTTACTAGTCGACGCCAGCGCCGCTGAAATCACGAGGACATTGCAATGTCATGTGCGAGAGTGGTTTCTACGTGTCTCTACTGCATACATCCTATGGACACGTCCTCATCATCTCTCTACTGCATACATCCTATGGACACGTCCTCACCACCTCTCTTGTATTGGCTCTCAACTCTGATCGTGCATCTCTACGCTTAGTGCCGGTGAGTCACCCCTGCCACTTTAACACTAGTGATAACTCTCGCACGCCTGTCGTGCCTAACAACTTTCTTCAACATTGGGGGTACCCCGGTGGTATCCGCTTACCTATTCGGTTTCCCTCGTGTCCACGTAGTACCCATTTTCGTGTCCTTCTATGTCAACGTCGTCATCAAATTGCTAATAAGAAAATTCCCCTCCCTGCCATAAAACAATATTATGCAGAGAAAGAAGGCACAAGATACGTCACAACCGAACTGCTCACAGAACACATGATACTCTTACACTGTCACTTGTAAAATTCGTTTCTCACAGTGTGATGTTTCTCACAGTGTGATGTTTCTCACAGTGTGATGTTTCTCACAGTGTGATGTTTCTCACAGTGTGATGTTTCTCACAGTGTGATGTCGCTGTGCCATGATCGCAACTGCCACTTGGCGGCGGTTAGCATTATCAACTCCTTCCCTAACAACCGTACGTGTAACTTTTTTCTGCTCTCCTGCTTCCGGTGGTAATGTGATTTTGCATGGAGCTTCTTCCTTGTCATTCCTGCTTTTTTTCCTTTTCTCCTGCGTGAATAACAATGCTTCTGAGGAAACGTGCAGTTGATTAGTTCTAGTTTAGTTCTAGCTTATTTTTTGCTTTTTGCCGTAACGCTGATTTTGCTTCCATGGTTGTGTGTGACTGAGAATATTCGTTTCCATGCACTGGCAAGCATTGAATTCGTTAAAATCCAGTATGAAAAGTACCCTGAATGGCTGTTCTTCCATCTGTCATGATGGTTATTAGATGGTTATTACACGTACGGTAATAACCCTCAAGCCAGTGGTTGACTTCGAGTTTCGACGCTCCGAGTTACAAAACACCAGACTGGAATGTTGTTCTATTCCAATTCCTGGGGAGCTGCATTGCAAAGCTCTTACTCAGTGCGGATGTGTGCCACTGGTTTGTGCCCCTCTCCCTCTCTCCCCCTCTCTCTCTCTCTCTCTCTCTCTCTCTCTCTCTCTCTCTCTCTCTCTCTCTCACACACACACACACACACACACACACACACACCATGCTGCCTGTTCAGACATGTTTTCTGTTATAAATTATGCTTGAAATGATCAGGTACAGTAAAAAAGAAAAAAAGCAGTGTATTATCATTTGTGACCGAACATGTCAAACATATTTGAGTTGCAGCAGCGGGGAATTTCAGCAATATTTATTTCAGCAATAAGTTAGTGTTGCAGAGTTGTAAGCGCCCTGAATAGCATGAGATTCATCAGGCAATGACCTGCTCAAGATGATGACTGGGACATAACAGGTGAAGCGGGATGAAGATTGGCACGTTAACGTGTACAACATAACAAGAGCCATGGGTTATACTTCAAACCATACGGCCAGCCACAAGGAAGGGATGTTTGTAATCGAGACCCAGGTCTCACCCAATGCTAGGCAGCAGCTACATGGGCTAGCAGGATGGCCCGTGGCAACGCAAGAACCGAGCCTCCATGACTGCTACCGCTATGTCCCCCACGGGCTAGTAGGATGGCCTGTACAAGGACAAGAACCAGTCTACAGGACTTGCACGGCTACATTATCCTACAGCATTCAAATCCGGAGTGTGAGTAGCAGCGGCGTCCTTGTCCATGGAGTCATGTTGATAGTCAGTTCCGTCACCTTCCTCCTCGCCATCATACGCATAGTCATCTAGGTCATCAACCATGTCCAGGCTGCTCCATATGCCGCCCGGATTGGCCAGCAGCTCAGCGAATGTCAACAAGCCGTTCCGGTCCAAGTCGTGGTCGTTTAGGATGCGGTCCACGATTGCTTCCACCTCTTCTTGCAGTAGTAGCGGCGAGGTCTTCTCCTCGTGAGACATTTGTTCAGTGGCAGCTCCTTGTTGCGGTGCCTCCGGCATACCAAAGTCGTAGTAGCTTGTCAGCGCAGCGGACAGCTCAATTCCGTCCAGTGTGTTACTCTTGTCATAGTCATGGCGCACAAAGAAGTGAAGCATTGTCCCTGTATGCATTGTCATGCACACACACACACACACACATGCACGCACACACACGCACACACACACAACACCATGATTCATGAGTGCTGCACAACGCAGTTTAGTTGAAGTGCATGAGGAAATGAGGTATGCTTAGGCAGCAGCTCAGTGCCTATACAGCAGCTCAGTGCCTATCTGGGAGCTGCATGCACTGTAGCAGGACTGTACATAACCAACACTGTGAATATGGGGTCAACGCATGCATGCATGCCGCCTTCATTACTTCATTACTTCATTACGTTACTTCATTACGTAACTTGCCTACATCACATCCTGTACTCATGCACTCAAACTCACAATCGTTTTTGCTGGATTCGTTCGAGCTACGTTTCAATAGACACCCTTAGCAAAAACTGTTATGTTGTAACGGTATTACCGTAAGGGGGAAAATACCGTGATTTGGGTTCGACCTTTAGCAAGATGCACGCTATTTTTAGTACGCTGTTGCCACGAGAATAGCTTTTATTTCGCGCGGTACAACCATTTATGTCACCATATACGCGATACAAGGTGAAATGCGTACGGACTACGCAATATTTGGCCAAAAAACATACCGTTTGTCACAACGATAAATCAGCCCCCATAACGTTTTTACGCTGCAGCTTCAACGCTATTGGGGTGATCAAGGTACTAGTACCGTAAAAAATAGCGTTGCCGTTGTTTGCTAAGGGTGTCTAATGTCTAAACTTGGGTGCATGAACTTCTGTTCCGTACACTATACTGCACTGTACTGGCCCCCAGCCCTAAATAGCCCTGTCTTGTCTACATTGTCTGCTTCTCACCAGGATTATCCAGTCTGGCATTAGTAATAGTAGGCACTATGACAGTAGTACATGTAGGTCTTGGTCACCACACAACTGGCAATGAACACCAACTGCCAATGAACACAACTGCCAATGAACACAACTGGCAATGAACACTACCGTATTTCCGTGAATATGAGTCACACCTTTTGGCAAAGAAAAAACCAAGGTCATAGAAGGGGGTGCGCACTCAGTACTCAAGTGAACACATCGAAAATATCCGACAGAGACGTGAAAATGGGGGTGCAAATCAGGGGTGAGTTATTGCAATACTCATAGCTGGCAGGCTCATGCATAGGCGAGTCATCGCATTGTAGTGGTGAAGCATCCATCACAAATCTACTAGAATGCAACAGGATAACAGGAGAGATGCGCACCTTCATTTCCAGAGAAACCGCTGACTGCATCCCCTCCGTACTCCTTCTCAAAATGCCTGCAAATAGCGCCGTGCCAGAGTCACCACACAAGAAAAGTTAGAAAACACATTACGATAATAAAATGAATATCCACAGCCCGGCCCACGGGGAGAGTGCTCTGATGTGTGAAGAGAACAGGGCTTCAGAGGGCATAGAACACTTTACCAGATACACAACACCCAGGCTCGCCGGAACCAGTCCACTTGGTCAGGTCATCATCGGACCAATTTGTTGGCCACCAACGTGTGTTTACTGCTGAGGAGGTCATGTGACTACCCTCCATATCATGTGTATACCCTCTATATCATACACAAACTGTATGAAAGGCTAGGGTATGGCCGGACCAATCAAAAACTGCTTCCACCGGTCCTGATACTACAATGTCATGTAGTAGTCGCCCTGTACATACTATTATAGGCAAGAAGAGCACATAGTCAAGGAGCATCCATGCACGGCACAGTGCACTTACTTTCGACCAGCCGCACTCAGTCCTACTACGTCACGCAAGTGATGTTGTTGATGTCTGTACAGGGAATGGGGATACACACATGGGCAAGTACCAAATACATCGCAATACTTAGAGTTTACGCCTTTGGCATTCTTCACTTCACCCATCTTTCCATATTCCAGTACTGCCGTGTCACAAAAAAACGTTCGGGTTCACAGAGCAAAGAATCGAAAATGAGTAGAGAGGTTACGTCCCCTATCCCCTTTGGCTAGGACCCTGGTGACAATTGGGATCAGGATCAGGACCGGGCCAGTTGGTTGGTTCTCCCATTCCTATAGTGAAAGCCGACAACCCCAGCATATCGATATTATGGTGTGTACAATGAACATACACTACAGTGTATGCAGATTGCAATAGTACTGTGAACATCACCAGTACAGTCATGATCAATGTTAGAAGCCTTCCTCACTGCCGTTTGCATCACTGGCCCATTGAGTGGCACAGCCAGTTTAAACCTCAGTCACTGCTCTTGAACAGGATCGGTGCCACCACTGGTTGCTGCTGGAGGAGTTGAACATTGTTTCTATTGTCCAACTCTCCCACCTGCCGTCACTGGTGACTGTCTGTACCAACCAGGGGTGTCGGAACCGGTGCGGCAGGTGCGCCCAAAGCCTAATCAATAATTTTAAAATGCGATTTTGGAAGCAATGAGTTATGGGCTATTGGGGCTCAAGTTTTCAAAAGATTTCCCTGGGGAGGGTCCGCAGACCCCTCTCCTTTTCATAGCCGCATCAATGTAGAGTACCTGCCAACGCCCCTGCCAGCGCAGCACCCACTTCACTGGTTGGTATTCACCGGGGTGTTATCACCCGGGAATATTGCGCCCCGCCGGCCCCGGTGTCTTCTATACCGGTACAGTGATGGTTATGTGAACCAAACCATGCAAGCAGTGGTGCCTGGTGATAGGAGTGATACGGTACGGTGGATTAGAATGATACACGCAAAGGGTTTACGGGAGTTTGCACCTCTGTGTGTTGTGCATACAACTGGCCGAGTTTGCCATGCAGATGTACGTCACCAGCAATAGTAACCCAGGCCCCGTATGTGCAGAGTGCAGAAAAGTTTCATTCCAGAATTATTTAAAAATGCCAGAGGCAGACACGTCGATAGCTGATAAATCACTCACTTGAGGTCATCCTTAGCGTGTGCATGAAAGTCGTGTTGGGTCTTCGGTAGATGGACATTGTCTGCGCCTCCAGTCTGATCATTCTCAGCGGAAATAGGACGGTTAGTGAACCCTACGATTAATGCTGCCACATGTAGAATTTGCAATACCGAATTCATTTTGGCCGAGTGATTGATTGTCTGGACTCTGGATTTCCTCCGTCTGAGTTCATTGTTTTATTTTGACTCATTGTGAGCATTGTGACAGCGCCCAAACAAGGACTACGGCGTACAGCAAGGGGTATATCCGGTACCATACCGTACCGGGTGCCGGCCCTTGACTCGAGACGCAGACTAGTCGACTGTGAGTTGAAACCAAGTACATGTGCATGATTTTTGGCATACTCGTAGACTAGATCTACATGTACTCCGTTCGAGTGCGTGTACAGATGTGCCGCCCAGAGAGCCCTCGCAGGCCAAAATGCAAAGGCAATACAAAGGTAAAGACAAAAAGGGGCAAAGCAATACAGACTCTAGAATACAGAGCTTGTTATTGTGTCCACACACTACATTGTAGGCACACAGATAAGACATAGTGACTGTCACTGTGTCACTGTCAGCCATGGTACGGTATAAAATGTTAGGAGTGCTAGTAGACCTACTAATTGTAACGGTAGTAGACTAGGAGAACACCCAGATCCAGTTATCATGGTTTACCTATTTTGTAAGTATGATTGTACTCTCGGTAATGTAATGCAATGTAATAATGACTATGATTGTTCATTTAGCTGCATGTCATCAAGAGTACGATCATACTCGTACTTCAGTACTAAACCAGGGCAAGCCAACTGGAACTTAACTGTTGTGTATCAGCAAGGTAAATTTGACTAATTTCTGTTGGGCATCGCTGGTTGTAGTACAAAAGGCGAAAAAGTCGGAAAAACGCACGCGAATTTCCCGTTGTCACCTTATACATAATATTATATGGGACCTTGTATTTCGCGCGGCTTTGAACTTTTGCCATGGATAAATCCGGAAATTGCAAAAAATATTTCAAAAAGTCCTACGGAGGGCCGAACGTAGGAAAGCGCTTTCTTTGACGGAAATCGGTAGTGAGATTTACGTATGAAAGTTGCCCTCGCTCCCCAGCGCGTACAACACTTTTCATACGTAATTACGTAGAGCAAAACCTCCCTAGTATTAATCCCTATTACGTATCTAAATCAGGAAGTACTAAATACATGTACATGCCCCATGGTATGTTACTACTCGCTGATCTCTGAACGCCGCCGCGGGCATGGAATCTACATCGTAGATCTACTCTCGGCTTCAAGCCTAACCCTGCACTGCACAGCCTCGTAATGCTGGCAGTAGCACTTTGAAGTGCCGGAATCGGTCCTGCACGGCCGAGACCGAACTGAGACATGCCGTGAAAAAAAGAGATCTGATGAGTCAGGCAGCTAGCAACAGTCAGCATGTTTAGGATAGTGTGGACACACCAGTCGTTTCCAAATGCATGATCTGTAATGGTACGATATTATAATAATCCAAAAATTACCAAAATCCAAAAAATCAGGCTTGAATCCTATGAAATAAGTTATGAAGGCCATGGACCTAACATAGGACAGTCAGACGATACATGTACTTGAAAACGACAATAGACTATGCTCCGTGATAGATCATGGAGTGAGTTTGCTGTGGTGAACATTGGGTGATATAATTATACAATTTATCTGAGGAAACATTCAGTAACTCAGGCGCTACATGTACTAAAGTAAACAAGGCCACCGTTGTTCAGTACTACACTGACTGACGGTACCGATGCTGAAAACGTGACCGAGCCGCCGCAACGTGAAGAATAGTGATAGTACTCTAGCAACGCCACTGTGAGATCAGATGTCCGTCTCGCCGTCATCGTCATCCGCACCATTTTCCGCCGTGACTTTGCCGTTCTCCACGACGTCCTCGTCTGTGACGGCATCCACTGATGTGCTCTGGACGGGCACGTTCATACCTTGCTCAGCCGTGGACTGCACTAGTAGCTTGCCTTTGCTGTCCATCAGCTCCACAGACAAACTAGATTGATACTGTAATACCCGTTGAACACAAACACAAACACAAAATACACAATGAAATGAAAGGGACTGTTGAAGGCAGCCGGCTGATCATAGGCGGGAAGAATGTTGATAACCATTAGATGTTCCCGAATGCCTTGAGAGAGATTCTGATCAACCTGTCTTACAAAGGCCGTGCCTCTCCTTTTTCGTTATTCTTGTTATTCGACATATTCGTCCATTTTGGTCAGCGAATCCAAATAAAATCAACAACAACAACAACAACAACAACGTATTGGCGATGGTGCCATCGTGAGAATAAAGAATTCAACAACAACAACAACAAAGTGGTCCAATTGTTTCGGAAAAGAAGCCGAGCACTTTTCAAAGGTAGTGCCCAGGCACTGATAGCCACGGTGACTAAGAACTTCAGTAAGAAGTACATACAGAATCTGACTAGCTCCAGCACTACTGAAGGTTCACGGTATTTGTGCACACTGGTTACACTCTGGCTACACAGTACTGCAAGGACCTGCTCTGACTTGACTTACATCTGGCAGATCATCCTGACAACTTGTCGCTAGCCATGGCTTGAATTCAGGATGGTTCTGAGCCTTCCAGTCACCATATGCCTTGCACGCTGAATGGATCTTTTCGCCAACCTATACCGGTGCACAGTAGAAGTACATCAAATTACCATGGCTACTGCTAGCATCAAATCTACAAAACATGTTATACTTTGATATGGGTTTTAAGTGATGGCGCTAGAAGTCAACAAAATTAATAACGACTTCTGGGACAAATAGGATTCACCGCCTTGGATCCACCGCCTGACCATAGTACAATGCCTGATGGATAGGTACTGGCCCATGTTGCTTTCTTCTCTACCAGCAGTGGGTTCGCGGCAGGGAGGGCTCAGTCCAGTCACTACCGGTGGATATGTCTCCCAAGTGTAAAGGAAAACCACCCATACCCGATCTGATCCCTATAAAACATTAAAACAATATCAACACAGCGTTGCGATACGTTGCATGTATAATGGCCTTCCAACCTCTGTGCACGTGCATAACATGATAATTATGTCACACTTGATTTATCATGGCGCGGGTAAGAAATATCGGAAATCAGAATAGAAAGCCGTTTTTTCAAACGCCCACGCTATAACCGATACCTACTGTATCTTGGTTCAACTGAAACGGGTGCCTTCACCAAAATGCAAAAAGGTTCTTTCCCATTTGTATGATCAAGTGAACCTGTAACTTACTCCTGAAGCAGGGACTGCTCACGAGAGATACTGCTCAGGTGCAAGTAACTAGTTTGTCACGAATGGCATGGAGCTGGCACCACCACTACCAAAAGACACGCGGTAGGACACAATGTGGTGATAAGGTTCTTACCTTGGGCACTAGATGTATAATGGATTTATTGATCAGAAAGGTTGGTATGTACCCTGCAGCGAAAGGAATACACAGAAGGCAACAACAGTGCCATCGTTCCCTGCACATTGCAGCTACCCCTGGCGCCACTTGTTGCAAACCCGCTGATCCATGAAGCAGACTCGGATGATGATTTAAAAACACATGTCTTTAAACTGTGTCTAGCCTTCCCAAACAATTACAAGAAACCTCAGAGCTGTCAAGCCCAGGAGGCCTTTGTTACTACAGGGGCATAGGCCGGGCTGCCTTCAAAGTACGGGTTCCCGTCTATCTAGATTTGGCATGCCTGATATCAAAACTGCACAGTACAGTAGTCAAACACTGCTGTACTGGGTGATGAGCACATTGTCAGAATCGCGGCCTGGCCAGTCCGGCCATGCATGCCATGAACCACTGAGTTAGCCCGGCCGGCTTTGCCAGTGAGCTTGATAGTGAGGAGAATGGCTGTGCCACACAATACATGTAATTAATCAAAGGTAGATCTTTCTGTAACTTGAAGAGAAGTGGGAAAACATATGACCAGGGACAGATGAAAGCGGGTGATAGGCTGCAGTTAATATCTGACATTTGACACCAACACGCATTCCTAACACTACAAACAGGCTCCAGTTCCATTTGTAAACAGAAGCAAATCAACCCAACTTAGTACACGCACAGGCACATACACACACGACACACACACACACACACACACACACACTTGTTGCTCACTGCCAAAACTGGTCACGTGGGTCTCCCCGGGAGAGGGGAGAGAGACTCAAAAGGAATCTTGGAAAGATGACTCAATTGGCTATTGAACCGCCCAACGGCCGACACCCCCTGAAATCCCCAAAACTCTGGGTGGACTTGAAAATGATCCCACTTATGGGCTCACCACACCTCAGTAAGTGGGTGAGGACAAGGTGCAGAAAAGGATTGACGGCATCAGGGTATCCGTCCAGGGATCCAACTGCAGTTACCCCTGCCCCCAGTGAAGGTAATACTTGCTACTAGTGTGGGTGGCCAAATCAGAGTGGATCTGATATAAGCTTCACTAGCACCATTGATTACACAAGAGTTAATCTAGCCAGAAGCAGTCCATGGCTAACAGGTATGTATACTTCAAATAGAAAGTATATGAACCCTGGAACCAACAAAGGTGGCAGGTACAACATTACACCTTCAAGCAGCCGAGCCCGTTGGCAACAGCCCCAACACAGTCAGGCATATGTGTACCCACCAACCGAACTAGCTGGCCGTGACACACACACGCACGTACACACACATTATTACAGGAGATGAGCCATACTAGTTTAGCTAACTCAGTAGCAATGCTCTTCGGGCCTACCTTTGGGATCATTGTGCGAGACATAAAAAAGCCTACACCCTTTCTCCAGAGGCCGAATTACATATCCAGAGAGGAAAGAAACAGCGCGTACAAAGCCAGCTCTAGGGGGCATTCTCTGCAAGCACGGAAAGATCCACACAAAATCAAACAAACAACGTGAAATGCACCGGCACAACTGCTTCCTAGAGCACCATACAAACAGGCAACACACGGCATACTTTGAAACACCTGGAACTATGATGCAAGGCATATGAACATGCAAGACCTGGCAACATAGATACGCCGTAAATCAAACCCGGCATGCAACTCTACCACGCACACCTCAAGCCGCCCAACGCCCATCGAGTACACTAACAGGCAATACTATTATGTATACACATCAGCCCGGGTTGTAGGGTAAAAGACTTGCACAGATGAGTATTACCGAAATAATAATTATCATATTCAGCAAGCTTCGACACCACACCAGTCAACCAACTACAGTCGGCGCGCTCAATGAAGCCCAGATTCATGAATAAGTTAGTTAGTTGTCTGCACTAGTGCACACATGAGTGTAGCGTCCAGTGTCAAGCATGCGGCTTCCTCTAACTCTAAGCAGCGCCGGCTGTGCTAGCATCGGATCATGGCCTGCCAGTATCTATTGTACACCAAGTAATGTGCAAAACATAACCATCTGGAGAATATGAGCAGTTACCATGGCAACTGTGAGAACCCCGGCGAGAAGGCATAAATTGCCTGTACATTTTGTGAAGCAAAAAAAAGCAGACGTGTGCATGAAAGGCTCACCGGGTGCGTAAGCGAGTGATTGAAGATGACGTACTGCTCTGGACTAGCTCGCCAGGACCGTGTGTTGACATAGTCCCGGTTGTCAAGTGGCGTTGGCCATCTCACTGCAACATACCGAGCAAAAGACAATGGTCGCGATTATTTATTAAATTCTTGACTGAATGCAGTTAATGGGATTTTCGGTCTTTGACCACTTTGTGGTGTGTCTGATCTACTCACCGCCGCTTTAGGAGCTGCATCTGTGCCTTGATCCTAGCGGGTGGTGGTATTCCTATGGATGCGGAAAACTTTCTCTTTTTTTTCAGTGACTGAAGTCTGACACCGAACTACAGACTCGCACTGCTAAGAACTCCCTATGTTCTCATCAGTGCATGTGCAACAACATGGATAGGTTCTCTGATTCCTGAATGAGATAGAGCAATGGGCAGCATTAGAGCGTGGAGTCAAACTTACTCGAATAGTATCCTATATCGTTGTTGGCGTCTAGGCGACATATCTCAAATCCATCGACCATGTTCTCGTCCCAAACCCGTCGGTAGTATGGGTCATGGAGGACATCGTACAGAGTGGTCGCTTCCACATCCGCGTAGTCTATCCTTGCCTGCAGGACAGGAACAGAGATTTCAAAAGCTCTAAATGCCACTGCCACTATGCAGTAGACGAATATTTACTGAACGGGTAACTGGTTCTATGGCACAGCACAAAGCAGGGCAACAAGGAGAAAACCAGAAACCTCACCTCATGGTATAGCAGAACTCATGTGAAAGAAGTTCAACAGGCACATACCATGACATATACAAGTACCGTATTTTCCGGAGTATAAGCTGCACCCCTTTTTGGTGGGTGAATTTTGCGCGTTCAAAGTGCGACTTATACTCCGGAAAATACGGTACATGTACATGCCGGAAACAGAAGGCAGGCAGCTCTGTGAGCTTGTACGTACATAGGCGTACAAATGATCTGCAATGCTCCATGAATGCCTTACTAGTACATCATGGTGAGGAATCCCAGTAGTGTACTTGCGTGTACATATTGCGATTACTTAGTAATGTCTGTCCCCGGGGAAAATTGCGGAAAAAAATCGCAAAAAAACGCGGGGAAAACGCGGCATAATATGGCATAATTTGCGGTGAATTTGCGGTAAATATGCGGTAAATATGCGGTGAATAATATTGATGTGCGGCAATTTTCAGTGAGTATGTAGTGAAATCAATCAGCTACAAGTCTCTGGTGTAAGCACTCGTCATATTTGAGTAAAAATCCGCCACGATGAGACGTTGCTGACCGAACAGTGCACTGTGTGTACGTGTAGTGCAACAAAAAAGTTCAAAAAACGCGGGAAAATCACGGAAAACGCGGAAAAAACGCGGCCGCGGAATCGCAATTTTCCCCGGGGACAGTAATGTGTAGTACTTAGTAGTTTTGGATAAAAATGGAGGAAGGACTGAATATCAGGATATTACGATAGTTATGACTCATCTTGAACTGTTGAATGTCTCAGTACAGTACTCCTTGTCAGTACTGATCCGAGTCCTTCCCTTTTTCTTTTTTTTTTAATTATCCGGCCATGATGGCATTGGCTCACCATCTGAGTGCAAATTACTTAGTACTTATTCAACTATTCCACTGTACACGCACATCATCAGTGTTGTACTCTTGAGTGACTGTATGCATACAAGGTATCATGAATATTGGCAAATTGGTAATGTCGCGGTAAGCTGACCCGCTGTGCATTGAACACTGGTACAGTAATGTATTCCGGCTGCTTCATGCCATGCCCGGGAACAAGGTAATTCAGTCAATGATTTTTGTAGCAGCCGGAATGGTGTTGCTACTTTGGGCTGATCACGACCTGGCATACAGAGCCTACGGACTGCTGGGAACCACCGGCCTTGAATGCAGGACCCAGGTGCACTCGTATGTGCCCTCAGGTGCTTTCCATTTTGAAAAGGGCAGCATATCCGTTAAGAGGAGGGATAGCGCACACTACATTAATTGTGTATCCTTTAGCGGGACACAATTTTAGCTTTTGCTCGACACATTGAGACATGTACGGTGCACCGAGGACATGCATTTAAAAATTGATTTCGCTTTTTTAAGGCTTTTTAGGCTCTAATCAATTGCTTTTGATGCAAGGTTGGCTGCAAGCTCATGCAACCAGCCAAGGAGACACTGCATGCACATTCGTGTTTAACATTTTCACTCCTTCACATATCTCATTTTCTGGTTTTGCAACATAAATGTAAAGTGCATTTTGTTGACTGATAGATACGCCTTGCCTCATGACTGCCGTAGTCTGTCAGAAACTGTATAAACCCAACACACAGGCTCTGCTGGATAGTTGACCCATAACTTCATGTAACCGTATGGCGAAAACAACTTACTAATACTAGTGTACGAAGTAGTGGTTGCGACTTCGGCGATGACTTGTAAGAAAGGGTTTGCTCCCCACACCGGAGCTCGCGCTATTCCGCCGACTTTACTTGACACTTGACTGACTCACGACTGCCATCCAGAGCACACGAGAAGTCCATCGAACCTTCGACTCGGCAAACCTGCAAGAAAGCACCACTCCCTGCTCAATACACAGTGTTTCGGGGAATTCACCCCTCATCAGTTGAGCTGGAGAGCACTATATAAGTGGTGCTCTTCAGGCACAATCTTCCTCAGCCTACTCAAGCTCAACTGATGAGGGGTGAATTCCCCGAAACACTGTGTATTGAGCAGGGAGTGGTGCTTTCTTGCAGGTTTGCCGAGTCGAAGGTTCGATGGACTTCTCGTGTGCTCTGGATGGCAGTCGTGAGTCAGTCAAGTGTCAAGTAAAGTCGGCGGAATAGCGCGAGCTCCGGTGTGGGGAGCAAACCCTTTAATACTAGTGTGTACACAATATATGGCTGGTATGGAGGCTATAATGGCTGGATGCTATATCAGTATAATATGACTAGGCTAGGCTGGAGGCTCCCACAATCTGGACGTATAAGTGCTGCCTTGCTGCTGAACTAGTTACTTCACACTAAATCAGTAAATGCACCATGCCATCACCCTGGAGCTTCTCCCTACCAGTAGTGGTAGTAATACTATGACCTCTGGTGGTGCTAAGTGGTGCTTGTGCACTACTGATTCACAATACACATACACGTACATGATTGTAATCATCACAAAGGCCCTCGAGAGATAATAGATTGTGCACCTTTTCAATGTTTTTACCCAAGCGCTGTGCATGTGGCCCCTAGCTAGCTAGCTATCAATAATATTATCATGGTTTCCCCAGCATTTACCTTCAACATATTGACACTTGATCCCTTTTCCTGCCTGGTCCATATTCCAGAATCTGGTCTGTCCACCTTCTGCTCCCAGCCTTCGTCACTATCCGTCAGTGCCACGAACCGCTGATATTCCTCCTCGGTAGCGGGCTGAGGGATTACCTCAGCGGAGGCACTATCTTCACTCGCCATGCTTCAGAACACACCGCGACGGTAATAAAGTACAGGATGCGAGAACAGAGCTCTGGGTAGAAATCTACGACAGGTGCGTGAAGATAATTATTTGCCGGCCGCCACGCTACGGCGCCTACTGCAGTCTAGGGGTATTCCTGTTTTCCGAACTGCCCGTTCCGCTTCGCGTCCAGGGATGGGATTATGCACTTCTGCGAGAAATCCTACGCCTATGGTGATGGCTATAGTGCTCCGTGTTCGCTCAGCTAGCACAATAGTGTGGTGAACCTGCTTCCTACGTAAGCTGAAACTCGCGAGAAACAATCAGAAGCACCACACTCATAGATTCTACGGCAGTACGGGTAGATCTACATGTGTGAAACAAAGAAAGCTACACGCGCGGATATGTACTACGATTTTACTTGCTGAGTTTGCATTCCACAAAAAAAAGAGGTAGATATCTTCTTCTGCTTTTTTGTTGTGTTGCACGTGGCACTTTGACTTGGAGTTGGAGTCATGTCAGAACTAGCCAGTACTGCATGCATTAGCCGTATGCTCGTACAGAACTAGTATTATTGACTGGTTCGATGGTTGATGAAGCCTGTTGGAGCGTTGCTGACGCACAGGGCCCAGGGCTAGGGAGGGCCAGGCAGCTGTCGATGTCAAGACAAGGCGCGTCACAAAGCAGGTGACACACTACTGCCACCGTCACTAGTGCCGGTACGTATACGGTATTAGGGTACATGTACATGACAGTGCACTACTACTAGTACTAGTAGCGACTTCAGTCCAAAATTCTAAAATCGGAATTAGGGCCAACAAATTACACGACTGGAAAGAGAAACCTCTGCAGAGCACATACAGAAAATTTCATGGGTATATCTTGTCCCAAACCGGAGATATCAGGCCCCAAAGTTGGTATGCAATCGTTGGAGCCCATGTATGCAGAGCGATGGCACAAAAGTGGGCTTCTCGGACCTCATGAATATCATGCATACACAGTGAATGTATGCGCGATATGCGGGTTTTTGGAGGGTGACGGAGAAACCGTCGTACACATAGATGTTGGACGGGACGTGCTCTGCTTCGATGCCGATGGATTGAAATAATCACCTCCTCACTGCTCAAGCACCTCCAGAATCTTGACGTGAAGAACATAATCATTACTAGCGGATTTACAAGCCAAAGGTCTGCTCGCTCCGTCACGCAGAGCCCGTCAAAATAGTGCACTCCATAGCCGACTTCAGCCGCTGCGCACAAATTCTTCAAACTGCTAAAAACGGCTACGGGGGAGAACCTTACCATGAACCCATCTAAACTAATTCGAGGGCTCTGAACACGATGGTGACTCGGTCATTGACGGGCAAGGTAGCTGAGATGCCGAAAGTTTGCTTTGAAAACTAAAAATACGGAGCGATATATCCAAAAATCGATGACTCTTGACATGCGACACACCGTTGGAAAGCTATTCATGTGTGCTTGACCATCGTGTAAAAATCGAAGGCGCCAGATACAAGAATAACGCGTAGGCAGGCGTAGAACGTCAAGAGAAAAATTGTTCCGTGCACGCCATGCTTGCACCATACATTCGTACGACGAAGGATTTCTGCCTTTTGGTCACGTGATTGAAGTCGCTACTACCAGTACTAGTACTACTACGTGCTAGTGTAGTACTAGTAGTAGTGCTAGTGGGATAGAACCAACGACCTGTCAGTGCAGTGCCACCTTGTGACCTAGTACTAGTACTGTACCTGGGCAGTGGGCACCGTCAAGTCACTAGTAGTCTTGTAGAATCTACATGTAGCTGAACGTTACCATGGTTACCATGGTAACGTGGGTGCATACAGTTGAGTAGTACTGTAAGACATGTATATATAACGAGGAAGCAAATCTAACGTTTTAACGGATGACATTTCTTTGTCATAATAAGATCCGTTGAGGCCGTACTGCTTCATATACTGTGGATATGGCAGAATACTGCAAGATCGTTAACATATCTTCTCGTTAACCTATGAATTTTGGACAATCGTTAAATTTGCGACTCGTTATAATAACATGTCTTACAGTATCTGATCAGGTGCCATGCCACGTACATGTAGGTCTGATCATGCATTGCTACCAAGCACGTACATGTAGGTCTGATCATGCATTGCTACCAAGCACACGTACATGTAGGTCTGATCATGCATTGCTACCAAGCACGTACATGTAGGTCTGATCATGCATTGCTACCAAGCACGTACATGTAGGTCTGATCATGCATTGCTACCAAGCACACGTACATGTAGGTCTGATCATGCATTGCTACCAAGCACACGTACATGTAGGTCTGATCATGCATTGCTACCAAGCACACGTACATGTAGGTCTGATCATGCATTGCTACCAAGCACATGTACAGTCAGTACAGTCATAGAAGACTCCCTTGCCAAAATAGTCACAGTATTAAAAACTCCCGGTCTAATCCGGACTCCTCATTATGCAAACATGAAGTGTGAATCGGGCGTCAAGCACTACAAATACGTGATGTACATGAGTGCATGTAGTCGGCAACAACAAAGGGGGTCAAATCAACCTCAAGAAACACAGCCTGCGAGCTTTGCACGAGGGCAGGTTACTACAGGTTACTACAGGTAACTACAGTAAAACCTGGCGTAAGCGACCTCTGGGTTTCGGCACCACCTGCTCTTGACGACCGTTTTTCCATGCACCGACAGCTCTGCACAGACAATGTTGGACCTGGTTCTACAGACCACCTGGCTTTAACGACCGCTTTTGCTTGCACCCTGGCCTGGGTAGGTCGCTTAAACCAGGTCTTACTGTATAGCAAAACTGCCCTAATCCGGGCACGTCCGTGTACCGGGCTCAGTGTAGATCCTTCTTTTGCAACAGACGCTCTACCCGGAGAAATGCCAGAAAGAGGGTGGGAGCGTTGTACCAAGAGTCCGGGGGATTTTGGACTCTTGCTTATACATGCAGGCCACCATCAGAACCGTGCATAGTCATGTCACGTGTGTTGAAACTTCCTAACTGGAGGGGGGGGGGGGTGGGGGTGGATCGAAGAGAAGAGAAAGAGGGGAGCAGATAGGATTATATTATCACTAGTACATGTACTTCAAAGAAGTATGTACATTTTAGAGGACCACGATCAGCTTATCATCGTCCCCGGGATGATCAACACGTTGGTAATGGCTGGGTCTGGACTGCGGTAACGAGTCACTAACGATACTCTTGTACTGATGGTGGCATGGGGTTGTGCTGTTTGCTTTCTTACAGAAAGTGTTTGACTGATTGATTGGTGAATTTATAGTCGGCATTACATAACTGCCGGATTCCATTATATTTTTGTAGTTGTTTTGGAAGTTGTTCCCTTATCTTGATTCAGTGTTGAGCTCAGCGGCCTATTCTTGTGTTCCATACTGGTATCACGGTCACTTTGGAGCTTCAGCACCGATAACCTACCCAATATTGCACTGTTCACACGAATACAATATTTTCGGCAATACTGGCCAAGGCGCTCACTGTAGTTTGCAAGCCCTAAAAATAATTTACCCGATTGGGAAAAAAATCTACTGAAAGCCCTGAAATGACTCGTGGCGCTTATTTCAGGCAGGCAGTAATAAAAGACCGGCCCCAGAAAATACGGTACTAAACTTAAAGCCAAAACAGATGATAGGGCTGAAACTGATGGGCCCGGTCCCTTGCCTTTTTCCCCTGCTATTGTGATCCAGCATGTAAGGCTGTGTTTACATGAAGCGTTTCAACCCGGGTTGAGTTCGACCCGGGTCAGATTTCAACCCGCCATGTGCATAAAGTGAATGGCGCGTTTACATGACGCATTGCGCTTGACCCGGGTTGAAATTTCGCCCCGGGTTGATTTCAACCCTCCCCCCAAGGGGAGGGTTGAAATCAACCCGGGTCAAGAAAATCGTACAAACGTACTTCTGTGCGTATCTCGCGCCAGGTTTGAACAGCACTGCAGATGCAAATTTCGCGCGAACGGATTCACGTGACCATACAGGACTGTAGAAGTGGACTTTTGGCGGCATATCATTATTTGACCCGGGTCAACTGTCTTCATGTAAACGCTCACCTCTGTTGTCTGTCGTACAGACTTTCAACCCGGGCTGAACTCGACCCGGGTTGAAACTTCTCATGTAAACACAGCCTAAGAGTGTAGTCTGGGTTAAATGAACAGCAATTTTAGTTGTACTCTTGGTATTCCCTGAGTGTAACTTGCGGCAACTTTAATTTTGGTTTTGGTCTAGAAACCGGGCACGTAAAGCTAGATTACACCTAGCAAGAGTTCATAACCCCCGAACTCTTGCGCCTAGTAAAAGGAGACTACGCACGTACATGTACACATTATCCATATAAAAATCGCTCTGTGAGCGGTTCTGAAAAACCTTTACTGGTACTGCCCCGTCGTAAAAGTAAGAAATTAGAACTGGCCCATTGTCCCCCCAAATGCGAACTGATCCACCTAAATCGCGAATGACGGGACCCGAACGCACCAGTAGCACGAGGTCGGGAGGGCCCAGGATCACGGCAATTATCATAGGGTAACACCAGTAGTAGCAGTAGAATTTATTATTTTGATAGGGAAGCCTACCGCTAGTACAGTACATGGCCTATGGTCCGGACCAACGTCCCCATCTGCATCCACAGGTAGGAACCTCGTGCTACTGGTGCGTTCGGGTCCCGTCATTCGCGATTTAGGTGGATCAGTTCGCATTTGGGGGGACAATGGGCCAGTTCTAATTTCTTACTTTTACGACGGGGCAGTACCAGTAAAGGTTTTTCAGAACCGCTCACAGAGCGATTTTTATATGGATAATTTCAGCTCTTTTTCCGTTCCCTCCCCACCCCAACCCCGAAGGTAAACATGTTGACCACGCGCGCGATGTACTGTATGTAGCCATGCGACTGCAATAACACACTGATACATACCAGCCCTTCCCGCCTCGCTACCCCGCACACAGATACACAAACATGTGTATGCACACGGCACACACACGTGGCCACGCACACATACGCACATGCACACGACACAAACAGGAAATTCTTCATGTATAATGCCATGCAAAGCAGTGGCCACCGTACTTGAGGAAGTCAGTTGTGAAACAAAAATAATTCAACTACAGCGTGTAGACAAGCTGACGGCCAAAGCACAACATAGCAAACATGACATTTGCCCAAGGATTGCAGTTTGCAGACCATGCCATGGAAGCAGCGAATACAGAATGTAATATCATACAAAGTGACAAGCAAGGACGTGGCCATCATACACCAGAAACTTGCAGAAAGTCACATATCCAACAGATAGAGAAGTGAACAGCAATCTGATACAGCCCACACAGGACAAAGCGGACCTGATACTCGTCCCAGGATCGCAAGTGGCAAACCCTTTTCAATGCATAACA